CCGATCCGTCGTGAATCTCTTGTGTCATATTACAACAGTAAGTACACGTCTGAGCCCGGGTGTAGTTCACTGCGCCATGCCGTCGTCGAGCTCCTCTCCCTCAACCGTCTCCACGTTCCAAAGCCCCAACGATTCGCCTCCCGGTACCTTCACCCCGGGCTTGGCTCGGGTGTTCACCATGGCTTTACTAGACAGCGCCAGCGCAACCACCAGCTCTTGCATACGACGCGAGGCCACAAAGGTCTGCGTCAGTAGCCTGTTCTCCGAGACCTGGATCGCGAGGTTCATGCACTGCACGAGGATCTCGCTGTTGAGGACTCGAGCCGAGAAGAAGAGCGCATTGTGGTAGTTGAGGAATACCTCAGGAATGTACATGTTTCGGATTTCTTCCAACTCTGCTTGCTCGGATTCTGAGGGGTTTAGTAAATTAGTCGGGCATGATCTCTCATTCATAGGCGAGGGCTGATGCTTACCCGTCTCAGCACCGACTAGCCAATCCCTGAGCATCCAGTCGACAGGGTCACTGGCTTCGGCTAATGCAGCCTGGACTTTCTCTCGAAGATCTTTGATAGTGCCAGAGTCCCGGTTTTGCCTAGCCCTATTGTCTAGTGAGCATTGTTTCTTTTGCATGACGAACAAGCGCCGGGACTTACGTTTCGAAATTCTCCAAAGCAAGCGAAAACTTCTCGAGGCCGTCGAACGCCATGATCAAGGTTTCCAAATCACGCATAGTTTGGGATTGTTGCAGCAGGAGGCCTGTGTCACCCGCAACTGGGTTGCCGTTTGTCTTGGAGCGGCTCCGTTTGTGAGGAGAAGTGAACAGTATGCTTTTGATAGGACTGGAGGGCTCTGAGGCAGAGAAGTCCCGTTCGGGGTACATAGCGCGTTTAAGTATTATCGCCAAATCGAACCCAAAGGACTCTCGGGAGATGTCGGAAAGGTTCATGCGTCTGCTCAGCTCTCTCGCAGCGGCCAGGTTTCCGGTTCCTGCGATTTTGTTAGCATGGTGGACGAAATATTGAGACAACGGACGTACTGTAGTATCTCTGGTACACCTGGGATCCCAGCTGACAGATCTTGCCCCATTGTCCGTCAACAAAACGAAGCCACTCCAGGCTTCGAATCACTCGTTCATCTACGTCGGAGATCTCTGTTCCAATGAGATCGTGCCTTGGGATAGCCAATTCGCGGTCGCCATCCTTCCGTGTTACAACCTTGGAGGTAAACTTCATTGTCCTTGAATGGTCGATGGCGGAAGTCCTGTGGCTGATATACTCCCACTGGGTCTCCAAGATTTCTTCAACGTCAAGTCCATGTTTTTCCATGAGTTGGACGAGGAGCTTCCGTTCTCTAGGGTCAACAACCTCAATCATGACGCGCGCCAGAATGATACGCTTATAATGAGTGGGCAGGAGAGAGTCATATAGAGGGATAAGATCAACGAGACCAGCGTCCTCCAGGTTGGCAATATACCCGATGATGTTGACAGACGTATGGTCAAAGAACGTGGTATCCGACCGTACCATTCCGAGACGTCGGGTAACAATGAGTAAGTGAGTTGCAATTCGTAAGGCGTCGCGGTCCGTCGCAGTAATGAGGAGACTATCCTGCACCGACATATGTAGCATCTCAGGAACCAGAGATGACCCGTCCGATGGATTGTTCGCAACCTGAGAGACGGCGTGGGCCAGTGACAAGAAGAACTTGTCATACCCTCGAGACAGTATGGCTGCCTGGATGGTGCGGTATGGGTTGCGCGCCTCAAAGCCGACGCGGTCGTGATCCCGGGTGAACTCTATGAACTTCTTCACTTCATCGTGACCTGCCGGCTCCGCAACGTAGGGCACTTGCGCAGTGGGCGAGTGACTTAGCTTCCGCTGGAGCTGTTTGCAGAAGCCTTGGTAACGGGAGAGTACGGCACGGTTGAAATAGACGTAGAGGAAGTCATCCCAGCTTTGACAGATCTTGAAAGCGGCCTCAGTCTCGCCACAAAGTAACGAGAAAACAGCCCGCTCATAGTCTTCAATCTTTGGGTTCCGCGCTAGAGCAATGCAAGCAGCACTCCAAGTCTCCTGGGACCGCCAATTCATCAAGCGCGTGTGTCCATCGTCAACGGGTGTGCGTCCTTTGTGAGTCTCTACGTCAACACTGGAACCGCAGATACTGACCGCTCTCCAGGGCTCCAGCCTCTCCGCAGACCACTCCCGGATCTTTGACCAACTCTCACCCTGTCTGAGCATCTTCCAGAGTGTCATCCAGGTAGCGCGCTCGTAGTATTGATCCTGTTTCTGGAGATTCTGCTTCTGTCTCGTGATCGCATCGGGATCCAACTGAGTAACCAAGGGTTCGGCGTCTTCTGACTTGAGCAAAGAGGCGGTGATTCCGGGGTCGTTAGGCTCAAGTGGCTGAGGCCAGGCTCGCAGTCGTTTGTGTCCCTTGATCGTCTCCTTTGTATAGAGCCAGCCGAAGGACCAAGAGCCCTGACCCCGCTGAGCTTGTGTCTCCAGTTCCGAAATGAGATCGTCAATATCCTGCGAGGAGTTTTTGGCGGTGTACTCGAGCCATTTCAGGATCACTACACATTCCACCGCGTACGCGTCCGAATCGAGGAATTGCTCCCAAACTTCGCGGTCAGTTGAGTAGCGGTGCAAGTTCTGGAAAGCAGTTGCTTGTCTCTCTTCGGATTTGGCTATGCGGTGAGGGTTGGCGATAGTGATGAGGTTGCAGAAAAGCTGCCATGTGCTTTCCTCGAGCTGCAGTCGTTGGACTTCTTCTTGTGCCTTGGCGTCCATTGGCCCATTGGCCCGGTTGGCGCCAAATCCCAGCTTCGCGCGTTTCAAAGTATGGTCTTTCTGTATATCCTGGATCGTGCCACGCGCCAGCTCTTGGTAGCTTCTCACCAGCTGGTAGGCAGCTTTGTAGTCCTCGAGCTCACCAGACCGGTTCCCCTGCTGTTTGAAACGATCCAACTTCTCGGCGAAGGCTTCGATCTGACGCGTCACGCGGTCCGCCGTGCGACGAAGAGGGTGTAGAGCTTCTTGTGCGCCTGCTGAAGTGAAGAGGTCCGGGGTAGCGGCAGCGGCCAAACCATCTAGCATACGATTAGCAACTTCCCCGTCATGAGAGGTTGTATCCGTCGTACTTTGTTCGGTGGGAGGGGGACTCAGGTCCAGGGGCGATTCACTGCGATTCGAATCCTCAGCGGAGTCGTTGTCTGGGCTGTCCTCTTCGTCGCCGTAGTCGTCTTCCTCTTCCTCTTCATCCTCTTCGTCCTCCTCCTCCTCATCCTCCTCATCTTCCATATCCCCTTCGTCGTCATTAGTTTCGATATCCTCTGCCTCCTCCATGGGCTCGTCATCACTATCATCAATCTCGATGACATCGGTATTGTTTGGCGCTTGTTGCTGGTGCTGAATAATGGACGCAACGTCAGCGCACCGGCTGGACGGCCGTGTCAACAGAATCGCAGGGAACACTTACATTGATGGAGGTAAAGCCGGCCGGGGCGCCCGGGCCAGCCACCGTAGTCAGGGGAGCCATGAGCGCAACCGAAGGAATTGAAAAGTAGCGCTTGATGCGACCCTGGATCAAAAGACGTGATGGGGGAGGAGAGATGGGGGGGAGAGGAATGGCGCGGGATAGGCGTTAAGCACCCAGGCAGGGTTTAAGGAAGAACTGGAACTTCAGTGAACTTGCACCTTCTTTCCTTCTCTTGCTCGGCTTGGCCGTGTTTTGGGGCCGTTCAGCCACTAGGCCCAACCAGGTCTAGCGCGGCCACATCCGCGCATTGAAATATCGTGGATTTTTTTCCTTCCCTTCTTCTTTTTCTTTTTTTCTTCAACAAATGTCATATAGGCAGTCATTAGAGTCTCGGGGCGAGAGTTTTCAATATTCGTCCAGGTCAATCGGCCTCTTTGCGTGCTCACGATTGTCTTAGAGGGAGTTGCAGTTCTTACAACTAGCCTAGCTCTTCACTTATATGAGAGCTCAGACTGCAAAGGAATTGCTACATTCAGCTTTCGAATTTCGACCCGGAATCTTCGCACAACTCTACAGTAGTATTTGGGTCAATGGTCTTTGGCCTCGTGTTTCGATATCTGCAACGCTCGGTGTGGTAATATATACATATCTATCTACACAGCAACACAAAGCAACCGTTAGGAGCTCGCGTTCAAGCTAGGATTCCTGGCCTCGTTGCTTCATCCTCAGTCGCAGAAGACTGGGCTTGGGACAGCTCGGGGTTTTCGCTTCTTCGCCTTGCTCCTTGTAGAACGAATTGCAGCATTCGTAGAGGGCATTGATTTGCGACTGGCACTTCTCTTCCTGGTACGAGTTCTTGGTCAGACAAGCTGTCAGGGCTCAGTCAGTGATGTTGTCGCTGGGATCAGGGCTCAGGTGAAGTCACCTTGAATGGCACACTGCAGGGTGTCAACGGATATGTTTCTAACATGATGCTGAAAGACAAACTTACTGCTCGTGGATGGCAGGGGGGGTCATATGCTAGATCCTCTTTTAGTCCGCCCTGGTCAACTGTCAATCGATTATGTTCAAGGCTGAGAGACGAGAGATGTCCAACGGAGCAATGCGGTCTTGCTTACCATGACGCAATGATATATAACTAGTTATTGAGTAGCAGTAAAATGCAAATGCAGGCTGGAATTTACAACCGGACAGAGCAGGAGAGACTGAGGCAATTGCAACTAATCATGCACAAAGCAACAAAGCAGAGATAAAGAAAAAGCGACGATTGGGTGAAGGAGTGAAGAGGAAAGCGATGTCATTCACTGCGCCAGCCTGGTAGTTATTGTACAGTCAAGCAGCAAGCAGCCTATAGTTAAGCCTCCAAGGTGTTACTGCGGCCGATTGGACCTGCGCCGCAAAAATAGATTCTCCGTCAGTCATCACCGGTGGGGGAGGGAAGAGGGTTGCTTCTGCCATCGCCGCCAACCTATTAACCCCGATCTATTTCTCTCCACTTCAGCGCTCCCTCCTCCCTCTGTCACTTTCTCACTCCTCCAACGATCTTGATCCTGACTTCTCCCCGTCACCCTCATCTCTCTACAGAAAACTCATCAACCACAAGAAGTAAGAAACCCTTCCTCCTACACTTGTCTCTCCTCGTTGTCCCATCTTCCAACCCCGGAGCAATCCACAGTCAAATGCGACAGGAACCCCTCTGCAGCGCTGACTTTCTACCTTGCCACCTACAGATCACAACCAATCCACAAACAAGATGGCCGACGCGAACGCCTCGCCCGCCGGCGGTGACGCCCCGGCTCCCGTCGAGCACCTGAACATCAAAGTCACCGACAACAACAACGAGGTCTTCTTCAAGATCAAGCGGTCAACCCAGCTGAAGAAGTTGATGGATGCGTTCTGCGAGCGTCAGGGTAAACAGCCTTCGACCGTTCGTTTCCTGTTCGATGGTACCCGTGTGCGTCCTGAGGATACGCCAGACACTGTACGTACACTGCCCTCTTGCCCCTCATCATTATCATCCTTAGCGCCACCTCCGGTGGTGCTCAGCGTTTGCGGTTGTCTTGCCCCCTTCACCTGCAAGCACCTCCCCCTCCAAAACGGCACCCCCCCACCGCTTCGACCCTCATACACAAGCAAATAGACATCCGACTAACATCTCCCTCTTCCGCAACAGCTCGAAATGGCCGATGGAGACACCCTTGAAGTCCACCAGGAACAGATCGGTGGTTAAATAGAGAAAACTTCTTGTTCTTCTTCTTATCCCGATGAATTAATGACGAATATGGTCTTTTTCTTCCCTTACATACATCTTCCTCCAATCAACATTTAGCCAGTCATGCTTTTCCGCCTTCAATACTTCTTTCATCCACATTCTTCTATACGCCTTCTTTCTTAAATGTGTCGCATTTGGAAGGAGGTACAATCAAAAAAAAAACCGGGCGCAAATTGGTGTTTTCAGCACGGTGTGGGGGACCCTTTCGAACCCACTTCAGCGCGGAGCTTTTTTTCTTTCAAGGGGATAAGGGAGTCTTAAACTGAGTCGGGAGTGGGGGTTCTTTTGGGAAATGTCATCTTATTTTACACACATGAGCTTGGCCGAGAGAATAGAAAGGATTTATGAGCGCGTGGATGCCTTTCGTCTGAATCCTCCAGGATGATGGACTACAGCTTGCGTTGGTCTCATTTTTTAGTATGCATCTGTATCTCGGAGGATGACTCCGTCTTCTTATCTGTTTGCTTGGAGCTCATGTCCACAGGCAACATTCTCTCTACCATTAGATGATAGCGCTACAGTAACCCACTTGAAGTCTTCCAAATGTCTGTTGAAGAGTTATACTTTGTTGCAGGTTGCAGATCACCCCAGTCCGTTCTACTTGTTCTGCTATGAGTCTCTGGCCGTGTTCCAAGATCTATGCATTCCAAGATACCCCACTCAGGTGTCTCATTGCCGACTGCGCGCGGATGCCGTGGGCCCGGTACTGCCAAAAATCTTGTGGAAAGCCTCCAACCCGTATCTCATAATTTGAACCAGTTGATCGATAACGGAAAGGCACTGTACCTCGGAGTAAGTGCCTTGAGTCTTAAGACAATTTAGGATCAAGAAAGACCTCAAATACATCATTGTATCTCAAATGACGAGTATTGGCACCACACCTGCATAGACCCCTGAACAAATATGAGTATTTCATACCTCAGTTAAACAACGAGACTCTATCTACCATCACCCTTCCCCCATAAATACCCCCCCAGAAATCTGTACCGTACCAATGCCCAGCTCGCCAGTTCGACACCAGCCAACCCACCTATCACCCAAGTGCCGTCGTTCCGAGACCGGCTACTAAGGCAATACCCGATGCTCAGCAACTTCCGAGAAACCCAATCACAGCGTCTTCTTCTGGCCCCAAAGTCCCCACAATGACCTCGGAAACTCTCGCCCAATGTGAAGTCAGAGTGTAGGGATCGGCACTGTAAGTACTCGTAGCGCAGTAAGTTACAGTACATTCTTAAGGGGCCGCCCATCCTCCGAGGCCCCCCAGTAGCGTTTCCGATTTTCAGTGTTTGTGCTTCTTCTCTTATAACTTCCCCGCATTATCGGCGGTGCCGCTGTCAACACTTACTTTACTACCTTGTCATCTGGGACGCCCACATCAGAAACACCATAGATTTGAAACAGAGTATAAGCATCAGCTGGCTCAATTGCGTGACTGCCTTGTCTAACCCCCATTGAGATCCGACCCAAGTTGCGACGAACCCCATGACTCGCTTATGCTGCATCCCCGCGCAGGCGCGGCGAACGACGCCTTCAAGGCTCCAATCCCTCAGCCCAAGAGCCCGGTTCACAACCTCAGCACGCAGAACCGAGAACTATGCAGCTACACTACCGAATCTCAAGATCGGGGCTCATACGCATGTGTTGTTCCAGGGCTTTCCTGGTAGGTCACGTGCTCTACCTGTATATAGTGACCTTGGCTGTGACTGATCATTTCATGTAGGTAAACAGGTACCGTGCGCTAGGGTTGCAGTTACGAACTTGGCAAGAGTGAAATAGCTGATTCCGTTTCTTCTAGTCGACTGCTAATGTGAGAGAATCTTTGGCTTGGGGGACGAAGGTCGTCGGAGGCGTGAAGCAGAATGCTAGGGGGGAGAACCTGGGTCTTCCGGTGTTTCGGTCCGTTAGAGAGGTATGTAGCATGGCCTTGCTGGATTCCGAGGTTTATTTTGAGACAGAGCGGACGAATTGACTTGGGTAATAGGCACAGAATGATGTGAGGGTGGATGCGTCCGCCGTTTACGTGCCTGGTGGTTCGGCTGCCGCGGCTATCGAGGAGGCCATTGAGGCGGAGGTGCCGCTGGTTGTGGCTGTAGCGGAGCATGTTCCGATTCATGATATGCTACGTGTAAGGACCTTTCGCTCTGTGCAAATTGGCCGACTGCTTAATTGTTTGTTCAGGTGCACTCGATGCTCAAAACTCAGTCAAAGACAAGGTTGGTCGGGGCCAACTGCCCGGGTATCATCTCGGTGACAGGGAAATGCCGCATTGGATTTCAGCCCTTGCCATGCTTCACGCCAGGTAAGATTGGCATCGTAGCCAAGTCGGGTACCTTGAGTTATGAGGCTGCTGCATCTACGACCCGTGCGGGCTTGGGCCAGACTCTTTGTATTAGCATGGGAGGGGATGTGCTGGCTGGGACGAACTTTGTCGACGCTCTGAGGACCTTCGAAAGTGACCCCGAGACCGAAGGTATTGTCCTGGTCGGAGAGATTGGGGGGACGGCCGAGATGGATGCTGCCGACTGGATCCGAGATTACTACCGGAGGACCGCCAATCCCAAGTATGTGTGCGATCTGAGATGCCATATCAGCTTGCAAATGCTGACACTGCGAATAGACCCATCATGGCTCTGGTCGGAGGTCAGCATGCGCCGGCAGGACGCGTGATGGGTCATGCCGGTGCCTGGACCGCTCCTGGAGAGCCGGACGCCAAAGCCAAGTATCAGGCGCTGGAAAGTGCCGGTGCAGTCATGGTGAACCACCCGGAGAAATTCGGAGAGGGTATGAAGACTCTCCTGAAGAGTCGAGGGCTAGCCCATGATGCCAAAGTGAGTTTGTCTTGGAGCAAAAACATCATCAAGCTACTCAACCGCTGTAGTTTGCCAGGGGCGTAAACCAACAAAGAGGCTTCCACACAATGAGAAGAGCTACGGTAGATGTCAGTCACCAAGCGCCACAACAGCAAACCCGGAACCTCTACGTGAAGCCGTTCCAGGCGCTCGACATGCTCCGAGCGAAGTCCATTGCGGTCAAAGAGATCGCTTCAACGGATGCGGACTTCTTCCTGACTCTGACCGTTGACAGAACCGCGCTGTCTCCATGCATCCTTGCATCGTCGACCGCCGCTTTCAGCCCCGAGCACACCGGTTGCTTTCCGTTTCCTTACGAGACCCCGGGTCTCGAGAGCACAAGTCCGCTTATCAAGGCTGTCGCCTCCCACCTGCAGCTTCCGACCGCGTCGCAAGAGAAACTGGCTGCACTCGTCCAGGCACTCTGGCAGATCTTCACGGAGAATGAGGCATACCTCCTGGAAGTCCGAGCGAATGCTACGGATGCCTTGGAAGTGCGTGAGGCACGGTTTGGATTCGACGATGCTGCCTTCCGAAGTTCAGGACGCCAGGAAGATATTCAGAGCCTGAGAAACCCAGCAGAGGAGGTGCCGGAAGAGGTCCTGGCTGAGAAAGACGGTATCGTCTACGTCAAGTGAGTTGTGCTCGCACCTTCTCTCTCCGCACATGATGCTCATCCTTGATTGTAGGTTAGATGGAGAGGGAAGTATAGGCACACTAGGTAAGGAACCCCTCTCATCAATCGAAACGGTGACCACCGACTAACCCCATACAGTCAACGGCGCCGGGCTGGCCATGAACACGGTGGACGCGCTGACGATGCACGGCGGCCAGTGCGCCAATTTCCTGGACACAGGGGGCAAGGCGACGTCGGCCACGGTGAAGGCGTCGTTTCAGATCATCCTGTCGGACGTGCGAGTCAAGGCCATCTTTGTGAACATTTTTGGGGGATTGACGCGGTGCGATATGATCGCGGAGGGGATTCTGCTGGCGTTCCAGGATCTGGACGTTCGCATCCCCTTAGTGGTGCGGCTGCGGGGGACCAACGAGAAAGAGGGCCAACGAATGGTAAATGCTTGGTGTCCGGCTCCGAGCTCGCGTGAGGTTATTTGCTAACGGTTGATGTCGCAGATCGCGGAGAGTGGACTCCCGCTGGAGGCATTTGACGAGTTCGAGGCCGCGGCGAAGCGGGTGATAGAGCTGGCAGGGCAACGCTAAACAAGATCATGCCATAGTACGCATCACATTAATATAGATCCTCGACAAGGAGTCACCCAGAGACAACGATAGAGGCCACTGAATCATATCGACGGTCCACAGTCCCCTGAGTCGTGTACAGGTTGTACAGGCTGTACGTAGTAGCGGGGCCCAGGCCCGCGGCGGCATACGTAACCAACCCAACCTTAACAAGTCGCAGCGTGCCTGACTGAGCCAAGTGAGTTGCGGGCAGCAACCAAAGAGACCCGCAATGGGCTCACCGCCCAACGATAACGCAATTTGGCAAAATCAACTTCTTAATCCACCCCGCGATCGGCGGCCCCGCCGCCGTGCCAATGAGTGAGTGAGTAGGAAAGTAGTTTAGCCAGGTTTCGCCCTTTTTTCTCTGACTCCCCCTCCTCTCCTCTTTTCCTTCCTACAACATCTCCCTCTTCCCAGATCCTTCATCCCATAACTTCCCCTTAACCCTCAAAACCTCCTTCAAAATGGCCACGTAAGTCCCGTCCTCTCCCCATCCCCAATCCAAACCAACCCCTTCCCCCCCCCCACCACAACCACCACACCAACCACCACTAACCCCACCGCAGAAACATCACCTACCACGCGAGCGCCCTGACGCGCAGCGAACGCAGCAACCTGCGCAAACAACAAGGCCTCACGATCTGGCTGACGGGGCTCTCCGCCTCGGGCAAATCGACTCTGGCCGTGGAACTGGAGCACCAACTGCTGCACGACCGGGGGGTGCACGCGTACCGACTGGACGGGGACAACATCCGGTTCGGCCTGAACAAGGACCTGGGGTTCAGCGAGGCGGACCGGAACGAGAACATCCGGCGGATCGCGGAGGTGGCTAAGCTGTTCGCGGACAGCGCCTCGATCGCCATCACCTCGTTCATCAGCCCCTACCGCAAGGACCGGGATACCGCCCGGCAGCTGCACGAGGTGCCCACGCCCGGCGAGGAGACCGGGTTGCCCTTCGTCGAGGTGTACGTCGATGTGCCCGTGGAGGTGGCCGAGCAGCGCGACCCCAAGGGTCTGTACAAGAAGGCCCGCGAGGGCGTCATCAAGGAGTTCACGGGGATCAGTGCCCCCTACGAGGCGCCGGTGAAGCCCGAGGTGCACATCAAGAACCATGAGGTCCCCGTGCAGGAGGCTGTGCGCCAGATCATTGAGTATCTCGATTCCAAGGGGTACCTCCCTCCTAAGTCTGCTTAGATTTAGATCTATTTGTTCCAGGGGGGCAAAAGAGGGGCGGTGGATAGGGTGCCTGAAATATAGAATATTTCCTGTTGATAATTTTGGCTGTCTTGCATAGAGTGCAGATGGAGCTTCAGAAGAAAGGTGGGCTGCGTTGAATCTGTATATATCCAAATAGATTTATTTTTTCGCCGAATCCGGAGATGGTTGATGTAGACAAACATGTCACGCAAGGCTCAATCAAGCATGCCATTCGACTCTATGTACGCTATACATATCCACAAGACAAAGAAAAAAGAAAGCTCAGGTAGATTAAACACCATGGCAGTAATCACTGGAACTCAAAGTCGTAATACACGTATGCCGTATAATCGGCCGCCGCGGCTCCCTCGCCGTGCATCTCGCTCGGGTCGTCGCGCTTCACCCGGCCCTTCTTGTCGCGCCCGAACGCATTGCCCGCCAGATACGAGTACTTGTCGTCCAGGTTGTGTTTCGCCTTGTCCGCTTGTTTCGAGCTCGCGGTCTGTCGTCTTGAATTAGCACTCCGCTGGCTGTCCAAAAAATTCCCATCGAATGAAAACTCACCCGGATCAAAGTGCAGACAAAGTCCAATGGCAGCCCGTATCGCAGCACCGTCTCCACAAACACCCGCAGCACCAGCACGTGGATCCAGACCATGACCGCCTCGCTCCACGCCGTCCGGCCCAGCCGGAGCGTCTCCCCCCAGAGCTTGCGCTCGTCGCCGCCCACGCGCTCGACCTCCCGCCGCTCCTCCTCCTTGCCGCCGGCGACGTACTTGAAGTCGCGCGGGATCCACTTGCTCTCACGGCACTTGTGTACGAACTCGACGCTGTGCTTCTTGAACGTCGTGACGGCGTACAGCGTGAAGTCGTTGTCCGAGGCCACGAGCGTGGCCGACCGCGGCACCACCATCGGCGCGACCGTCTCATAAGTTTTGAGGAACTCCTTGATCTGCTGAGCGGGCACGGCGATGAGGTGCGTCTCGATGTATTCGGAATCCTGGACCAGGGTGCGCGGGTCGACGACCGAGGCGAGCGATTTAGTGGACAGATTACCCCTACCGCCAATGTCAGCACGCGGCCTTTTAGATCAAGACATAGGGGTGTGACAAGAGGGAGATCTCACGTCTGCTTCCGCTGAAGCGTCGCCAACGTATTCTTCACCTGGTTGTACTGGGTATACTTTGTGCGGATGTCGTTATCGATACTAGCGGCCTCCTGCTCTTGGCGTCAACAATCGCCGCCCCTTGCCTATTCCATTCGTACCAGACACATGACATAAATACCACTCACCTTTTGTAGCAAGTCGATCAATTCCGCCAGAGGCTTATCGGCCCGGTACTTGACTTTGTTCCAGGAAAATGTGCGTAGATATTGGTCCACCGGCTCTACGAAGGCAGAAGGGTTGCGTCATTGCGTTAACCGGCGGATTCTCCGAGAAGGGAGTGTCATGGTAGAGCAGGGGCAGGGTTGCATACTATCGTTCACGGTCTTCATCTTCTCGATCTGCGCTTCGTCGCCCTCCAAGATATTCTTCAGCGCATCGCCGACCTTGGCGACGACCCCCTGGCAGGCGGCCTCCAGCTTGGCCAGCTCATCGGCCTGCTGCACTAAGGCATCCAGGGTACCGATCTTGAATTCTGGGATGGGGAAGGGGGCAACGGAGCCATTCTCAGGGGCGACGGTGGCAGAGACGGCATCGAGGGCGTCGTCGCGGTGGTGGGAGGGGGTGATGGAGGTGGGGAGCGAGACGAGGAGGTACTTGGTGGACTTGGACATGGTGGCAGCAGCACGGGACGAGGAGTTGCGGGGACTGACTATCGGAGGATTTCGAGGGCTGCGAGGGGACCACGCATGCGATAGTCGTGTGCAGATAAGATCGGAAGAAAATGAGGAGAGGAAGAGAGGGACAGAGGTTGAACTGGAGGTAAGAGAAGAGGGGAGGTGGAGCTGCAGCTTGCGGAGCGGAGGCTCCAAGTGCTTGTCGGGCAGTCACTCGGAGGCGGTCGGCGAGTGCGCGAGTGGCTTAACCCGGGGAATATCGTTTAGTTTCACCAACCCAGAAACCACCAAGGCTTGTCAGTTACACAGACATTGCTGGAAAAATAGTGCTTTTCTTGGCTTGTCTGTCAGCTGCTTGACATATATCTACTAACAAATAGGACATATGCAGCCAAACTACTCCGCCAGATCTATACTTGTGTGCACTAAACAGAGCTGGCATACTGTAGGCCAAATGCGCCGCCCACTGACCAGTCTACAACACTTGCAGTTACTAAAAGTATGAAGTCGAAATCCGAAGCTCATTATTCATTATTCATTATCGTACTCATGTAATCATAACGCAATGCAACCCGTGTTTTTGGAAATCCCAGAACTGAAAAACAAGACAACGAGACCTCCAGCTTTCCTCTAATCCTTCTGCAATTCTGCTCCAGCGTCTTTAGAGCTGCAGTTCATCCGAGTCGACACCGGTCTTCGTGTGCTGACCAAAGTTGGTATCTTGCTGAACCCGGTCATCGTGTACTGACCATCCTTAGATCTTCAAACCATCACCGAGCCTCCATACAATCGACACCAGCTTCAGTAGATCGGTACCATGTCTCCACCGTCGACAAGGCAGATCGCAACTTTTCCTTCCAGTCAATGAAAGTAGCCATGCCAGCAGCAGCAGCAACACGATCCCAGACTGCTTAACTCATCATGCCTGTCGCATACCCTCCCACCCCCTCACTTATGATTCCCCTGCTCAAGCAAAGACTGCCGCCGCTGGGACTTGCGCTTCTTCTCGTTCTGCATGAGCATGTTCTGCACCGACCGACTCCCACGGGCATTCGACTTAACCCCGTCGTCGTTCAGCAACTCCGTCAACGCGGACTTGACCATGTGATCGCATCCGCGGGTCGACTCGGCCGCTCTCGCAGCAGCGGCGTGCTCGCCGTTCTGCGCAGGCGAGTAGGACACGGAGCGTTTGACGTTGTGGATGGTGTGCAAGGTCGGCACTTTGTTCGCGGAGGCGGCGGGCTCCCTCTTCAATGTAGCGTTGGCCATGGTGGTTTCTCTTTTCGTTGGAGTATTTGTATGTTGTGGAGGTTTGCGCTAGAGATGATTTGAGCTGGTTGAGGTGACACTTTAGCGAACGTTGAGTTTCTTCTCCAGAGATAAATAAGTTTGACGTGAAGATAAAAGTTGTGGTCCTCGAATGATCGACCTGATCTCGCTTTATCATTCACTTCTTAGTTTACATTCACAAGTCCGCACATAAAGGAACTTTTGCGATTGGTGTCACTATGACGTGTGGGGACGCTGATCGTTTGAAACGAGGCTGAAAGGAAGGGAGGAGGAGTATAAGATACGAGGATATACTTCAAATCACCACTGCATGGATGGATGGCAAACAAAGGAGGAAAGCAGGAAGCGAGGGTCATGCAATAATCCCGCTGCAAGATGTACAGTACAGGGAAAAAATTAAAATTGGAGACGTACGAACGGAATCTGCAGGGCTGGCTGGTTTGCATTGCGCATTGCAGCTGACTGGACCGTCTGATTCACCCGTTCAACCTACAAGTCTTACATCATGGATGACTCTCCACCTCCACCTTCTCCTCCTTCCCATCTGCCACTCTCCGCCCAGACCCCTCGGGAATATCAACCTGGGTCCGTTGTTAACTTTGGTTAAGAAGTGCGAACTTACGAGGATTATTTCGACATAACCCCTGCACTGAGGACCGTGCCCCAGTTGATTGGAGGGGGCGTGCCCCCGATATCATCAGCCAAGACACAAGTCCCTCTCTACTCCATCTCGATGGCAAAAAAAAAGTTTCATTGTCAACTCCCCAGTTGTCCTAGTCCACGGTACTTTATCCGACCACCCCCTTGCCCTTGACCATTAATTGCACTCAAAAGATCCACTCCACAAACGAAACCCTGGCCAAGGGAGGCAACCCAACCCGCCAATGACACGAGCCCATGCGTCTTCCCACCTTGCTCAGTAGTTTGGATGTACTGTACTTTTTACTTCCCTGAGATTCGCTTTCTCTCCTCACTTGAGTCCTTTCTACACATGAAACCGATACTCATCCCCCCGGTCCAAGTAGACCACCTCCCCCTCGAACCCCGCCTCTTTCACCTGGGCCTTGAAATCCTCCAACGGACTGGCGAATACGTCATAGTCGTCGAAATGGATGGGGATCGTCACCTGCGGCCGGATCAAGCGCATCAGCTCGACCCCCTGGGTTGCGTCCATCGTCACCATCATCGCCAACGGGCCCAGGGCGGGCGACGGCACCGTCGTGCCGCCCAGATGCACCAGCATCAGGTCGATCGTCTGCCCATCATACCGCCGCGGGATCTCCTTCAGCTCGTCGAACATCAGCGTGTCCCCGGAGATGTAGATCCGGTATCCCGGCGTGAAGTCGGCGGTCGTCGTTGTGCTGCTGCTGCTGCTGTAGCCAAGTTCAAGCATCCAGCCGTTTGTGGGGGGGATCTGGTGGTTTTTAGTTAGTTGAAAACAACTAGCAAAAACAGACAAAGAGAACAAAGGAGATGAAGAAGGCATGACGACGATGACGCAGACTTACCGCGCCGACAAGGTCATTCAGCTTTTCCAGAGGCTTCGCCAGGGGGATATGCCTCCCGGGCATACCAGTCACCCGCAACCGGGGCTGTTTGTCCGGCGGGTGCTCGCCGCGGATATCGACCATCGCTTGCTCGTACACATCCACGGATGCGACCCGGGTGAAGGAGTCGTCACCCTTGGAGGTGAGGATCGATTGCGCGTGCGGCGTGGTGATGATGGGGAGGTCCCGGCGGAGGGAGTCCTCTACATGTCGATCGAAATGGTCTCTGCATACATCGTATCAGTGTCATACCGTCTGGCTGATTTGAAAAAGCAAGTATCTTAAAACAGAGTGCCAAAAATGCCCCCAAACAGACTAAAAAAACATACAACAGAAGGGATTCGCTGGTGGTCACCCACCCAACTACTAACCTCCCGGCGTGTGGCTTGAGTACGGCTGAGCGGACGGGAAGCCCTATTTTCCACACCCTGTGGTCGTATGTGCTAGACACATGCACAACTGCCGCCCTTAACGACTGCAGCTAGCTGTGAATTGAACAGGGCACAACAACCCTAATTCCAGCAGCGGGCCTGTCGTTCGACTGTCCCCCACTGAAGAGCGTTCAAGCCCCCTTCCCCCCCATGTAAAACCAAGTAGAAAAGGAAAAGAAAAAAACATACTCATGATAATGCGACAGCAGCACCAGATCCACCCGGGGCAGATCCTCCAAATCCACCGCCGGATCCTTCCTCCGGGTCGAGGTCACCCCCGGCCCGAGATGGACATGGTCGCCTGCGTGCAGGAAATTGGGCTTTTTTTCACGCCGAAATCATTAGCCACCGCTATACTGAATCGCATAGCCCTCATCAGCGATGTAGCCAGAGTAGGCTTCACGTACATCAGTCATAATCCGAATGCCATGCCATTGTCTATCGTAGAGCTTAGCCAGGTTCTACTCTCGCATACTTCCTTCCCATATCATGAGGACAGAAAAGGGGAAGAACATACATGATGGTGGTCGCGTTCCCGACAAAGTAGATTGAAGCATTCTCCGCCCCGGGGTTGCGGGGGTGGGCCTTTGTGGCTTTGGCGGCGGGGAGGCTTGTGGGGATGGAGGATGTGGTGTCACTATGGTGGCGGTGTCGGGTTGGTGGTTCTGGGTGGGTTGGGTCGATGGTGAGGGTTTGGGGGGTGGAGGTTGGCATTTTGGTTGCTCTGGATATGATACCAATCAATGATTGAAACGGGAGGGGATTGCGAAAGGTATAATGGTTGGGGATAGGGGTGGGGAGTTGGTAGATGCTAGCTGGATGAATCGATGACTGCTTGATAGAAGGATAGATTAATAGACCGTGACAGTGACATGGTGGCACGGGTGACGTCAAATTTACCTAGTTCGTGGTAAATGCAGCTGTTCCAATAGGAGCTAGAGCACACTACTGTGTATAAATGAAGTGAGTTCGTTCATAGAGTGCAGATAGTCTGTCTATTGCTTTCTTGAGGCTGATGCACACTATTTACATACTTTGTTCTAGCACATTTGTTTCATGGTGGTTGATTCCGTTTATTCTCCTCTCCTCCTACGCCCACCAAAGGAAGGGGGCGGGGGGATAACTGGAGTGAAACTTGACGACCAGGAACGGCAATTTAAGAAAGAATGCCTTAGTATAACCAAAAGGCCGGTAAAATTAGATGAGCAAGATAGTCATTCGAAATGAAGAGTAAAATGCGCACGGGGATAGATCATAACCTTTACTCAAGCTTGCTAGAAAAAACATGCCCTAACTGCCACCTCCGGCACCCCATACATCCTCAGAAGACGTTTATAACGATATTCATTGATCCAACAGCGCGTTTCCAAGAAATCTCGGGGATGTTCGACCCCATCCGGCGTGGCAAAGGTCTCTCGTTCCTTGTGCAAGCGGTTAAGGAGTCCCAAGCCGAACAATCGCCAGAGATCCTACACCGACATGCCCAGCCCGTCCAGTGCTGGGCGCCCCCATTACAATGACTCACATAATCCTATTCAACCTCCTGCATATTTTCTAGCGCATCATTGACCTGGGTCGCTCGAAGGTCATGGCTCCACCACCATCGTACATCATCCGAGAGGTGCATGGGCGGCTCCGGAGGCGCCCACACGGCGGTGCTACGGGAAGCTACCGGCATCTTCGAGATGAGAGGCGGGTTGTATGATACCTGATGCTGCTTCGGGATTCGGATTGGGGTGGACTACTCGCGTCGGCGGACTGAGCCATCGCGGTGACCAGGGCATCGTCGGGCCTGTGGAGCGCCTCCAGACAGCCCGACACCTCGAGAATCTCGAACCAGGCGTCACATTGTCCCGAGGGCAGCTGTCCTACGCCGCTCCACCGCAAATGATGGTTCTGTAGATACATGATACCGCTTTGTGACTAGCTGCTCGATTGCTAGGGGTGAGGAGGAGGAGGAGGAGGAGTCGCGGTGCCTGTACCCAATAGATCAGCAAAGAGTTGTAGATGTCAAAGGGCACGGTAGACGCGGAACTCTTCAATCCGCGAGGACGGGCCTACGTCCTGCAACCGATACGGCACGGAATCCGGGAACCCACCGAAAGACCCGGCACTGGCAAGGTACTCCGATGAGATGTCTCGCAGCGCAGAAAGCTGGCCAGGCAGATGCAGGCCAGGCGCTGTGCATCATACGCACCTATATTTACAGGTGCCTACTGTGCCACCAGATCTTTCTTAATCCTCGCAGATGTTAGCCAATTCTGAGGAAAAGCTCCGAATGAATTTGACATAACATCCTGCCGCTTGCAAATTTTGTCTTATACAAGCTGGCAAATATTCTAGCGCAGTTGACTTTGTATGAGGATAACGTGAGGGATATGGTGAGACTGGTTCAGCGTGCATATGATACACCTTGCCTGGCACCGCTGTGAGGAAATTGCTAATGGCGTATATATTGTTTCAGTACTGGGGCAGGTGGGGATGGAGAAGAAAAGAAAGCCAGCTACCCAACCCTTCCCCGCCTGACATGATAACACCTACAGTGATCACATGAACCCCGCTCTACTATCTGGGAAATTTGACTAGGCTAAATTCCAAATCAACAGCACAAACACTGGCTGTGCTAGACAACTATTGGTAAAGACAGGGATGTTGAATCACCTAAGAAAGGTCCTTTCTTCATTTGTTCATTTCTGGGCATAGAAACAGATCGAAGCCAACAGGTCATGTGCTCTGGCGTCGAAGGATTTAGTTCACTGAACGCGTCGCGCGTCACACTAATCTGACATTCATCTCTTCAGAAGAAGAGATTCTGACTGTTTGAAGTTGCTCTTTCTCACCTGGACTTTACCTCTCAAACACAGAGATATCCGCCATATAACTTTTGACTTCACTTATTATTATAATAATAAGTTTCTTATCTTATCGAGTATGTATGTGCCCCAGATAAATGGCTTGAATTGAGCATAGTCTGCCTGTTGTAGCAGCAAGTGTCTACGAACTGGACCTTGGATCTCTTGCTAACAAATGTCATCTGATAAATTAAGATTATGTCTTATTCACATGCACTCGGGACACCCGAGTCGGTTTCTCCGAAGACTCGTATCTTACTTGCTATTTTTGTTGAGCAGAATACCGAGAACATGGATAAAATGGATACTCGGAAGGATGAGACAGATAACCACGAGCATACTTCTGATTATTCGGGTCGTGAAGTTCGTGATCAATCGGTGAACGGGGTCCACAATACCATACTGGAGTTGTGAGTGTTATACATCATTTTTAGAGTATTCCTATTGGCCAAAGACCTATGCACAAATATTATACGCGTTATGACAGTCCCTTGTCCCGGGCAGAAAATGTACAAATCAGTCAATCTCCTTCGGTTGAAGTCCCTAGCTAGTCGGCTGGGAAAGGGAAACATGTGAAACATCGCAAACGATGATAGGACTGGTTGAGAGCGAACAAGAAAGCTTGGCAAGTGCCTTAAAGCTGTCAACTTATGACAAAACAATACTGAAAAGGTTTTCTTGAGTACTTCTCGAGTCACACAAGATGCACTGTACGCCCTGCAATAAAGTTGCAGAATAAACCTACTGCCTTATTAGATGTCGGCTTGGGATGACAGTCTGTTGGAGTCTGACTAGAATTCTCTATCCTGTTTATATGAATCACAGCGCGCCTGTTGACTGTCTTGGGGGCTAGGCCTACTGAAGACTGTAACATGATGGATTGGGAGTCCAGTCCAGACTCGACCGAGTATGATTTCAATCCAACAACTCCGCCGATGTATCAGCGTCCGGAAACGTTTTCTAATTTCGTTCACAGATTGAATATCGGAACTTCTATTCCGTCTCAGGAAGACATAGATATGCCTGATGCAGATACGAACAGCCATGAGGGAATGCTTTGATTCGAATGGGGTTTCACTGACGACAAGTCCCGCATCTAAGAACTTGTAAGTAAAATATCGACCCTACCACATCTTTTGATTCTAAATTTATTCTTAGTCAGCTCTATTAGTTACTTCTTTATGCAACAGTTCGACATAGTGGCTTCACTATACAACATTCTTTTCTGTTTGTTTGAGTTAGACTTGCTGCAAATGTTCTGTTTATTCGGCTACACAATAGTATACTGGTCTGTGGTATTTTCTAGCTTTCTTAAACTGGATCCATAAATTGAATAAGCAAACGGATATGTGCTTTGAAACCTAGTACAGTATATGCATCATAACAAAACCAGTGGTGAACTGGGTAATCGAAAACATCAAAGTAGTTGAAAGACATCTGTGAGATAAGTTAACATACAAGCGAATTGCTGGAATCATATTGCATTTTATATAGCTCACACACACTTCATGCTTAAGAAGAACTAACACGTGTTGGAACAGTTCAAATTCCTAATTCTACTCAGTTATATAACAGAATATTCAAGCATGCGTAAATAAAAAAACAGAAAGATTCTCTGAATTGATAAACAGATGCTAGCTGTCCAACCACCAGTAAATAACAAACGCAGCAAACAAAGCAGATAGAGTAACCATCTCTGCCCCTGGTTCCTTCATGTTCTGCCATGAATGTGGCTTTCAATCTAGCTTGATGTCATCACAGGGATGGAGCCGATCAGCGTCAGATCGTATCTGATCAAGATGGGGGTGATCGAGCAGGCAAACGCTTTGGCAGTATGGCAGTCAGACAAACGTACTGCGTCTTTGAAGGTTTGAAACTTCGAGCTGGAAGTGATAGCACAGTATTCACCGGCTAGACATGCCCGCTTGTTAGCCTTCACAGCTCTCAGTTGTTCCCTGAACGAGCTTGACGTGACCACAGCGGTTGCACCCTCGAAGAGTTCAGCTGGTGCTACTGACTCGAGATCACTATCTTGCTCAAAATCGGCCGGCTTTTCATGATCCAGATTGAATGCAGTGGTATCGATCAACGATGCAGGCTATGTCTCATATAGATCGTGTAAGAGTGGTAGAAGGGAAGAAGAGGAGAAAGGGGAAATGGAAGCGTGTGGTAGGTAGATACTACCAAGTATAGAGAGAGAGAGGCATTGACCGGGTTTGGATGGCTGGCTTGGAGCTTTTTACCTCTAAGTACAGTACATATGCATCTGTAAATACATCTAGTAGTATAGTACAGTACAGTACACATGATCTGGGGTAAAGCCCACCACCAGGGGCGGAATTCACCTTCCGTGATGGAGATTACCCCGTATCTCCCCGTATCTGTAGTTCTGTACCTATCTAGGATCTAAGTTACCTTCTCGTTTACCGCAGTATCCACCCCCTCCAGGTGGAGTCTCTTATCCCTAGCACCAAGCACTGCGTACGGTACATCCGTACTCAAGTATAAGATATCTTCTTTTCAGCCTGGCAAGTGAGGACTCCATGAAAAAGGGAAGACTAGGCGAGATCAACGGACTCTGATTTCCGGTACACTTTCACCCAATTGCCCTGTAATACGTGCCATGCTCAAAAAAACTTCACCCACCCGCTGTGCAATCCCCTCATGCAGGAAAGGCAATTAATCGGAACCCATAGTCCAAGTTGTTACCGCTGCAATGACTGATGAAAGTATGCGAATATCACTTGGGATTAGGGCCTATTCTTGACAGTGACAACGATGGCAAGGAAGAGATGAGTTGTAGACGAGTTACGTCAAGCATACAATTGTCTGTCCTACGCAGTATAGAGCCGAGGGCTTCTCAAAGCGCTTGAATATGGCTTTGAGCCATTCGAACTAGGTCTTTATTTGTTTATTAGAGAAAACTATATGCTTCAAGTCATCTCCTGACCGGCCGTCACACGCCCCACAGGCAGTGCGTTGGACGCCGTCGTTCCCAGTAAAATCTCCCACCTCACTAGCAGCGTCAATGACCCAGAGGTTCCTGCAGGTGTCGAACATCCCCAACGCCCGGTAGCCGATTTGAACCTCGACCTCCTGCGTCTCACCGGGCAGCAATGGCCGGGACTTGGCAAATCCACAGATCTGCTTCTTGGGCCGCCTCAGTCTCGTGGGTCCGCACGGAGAGAACCACGCAATCACAGTCTCCCGGCCTGGCAAGTCGCTCCCACCGGTGTTGGTCACATGCGCAGTGACAGTCAAGTCGGAAGAGCCGACTTTCAAGGTGTGTGTGCTGATCGAGCCCGGCACCACCTCGAATTCGTTGTATAAGAGGCCATATCCGATTGGAAACAACGGTTCGATAGATAGCAGATCCCACCAGCGGTAACCAACAAACAGATCCTCGGTGTAGTGAACCTCGTCCGCCTAGCCTGGAAACGATGAGTAGGCAGTAAAGTCTTCGATTCGCCGCGGGGATATGACGGGCAGTCGACCAGAAGGGCTCATTCACGTGGCCACAGAGAATCGCGGCCGCCGCATTGCCTAGTTCCTGGCCTTGGTACCAGGTGTAGAGCACAGCCTGCACGTCTTGCAGCTACGGGTCCATGTTCACGGGCGTTCCGACCTGTACGATTACAGTGGTTCGCTTGCAAGTAGCGGCTACGCTGCCAATCAGACGCACTTGCTCGCGGGGCAGGTTGAAGAACGGCACGTTTTGGCCTTCCGTCTCCCATTCTCTATCACGGCCCACAACCACGATGGCGGCCTCGCTAGGTCGGTCCCGAGGATCTTCCTCCTCGAAGCCGAGCTGGATTCCCTGAAACTGATCTTCCATTGGGCTTAGTAAGTGGCAAAGCTTGGAGCTACGCTGGCGACCATGGCATTGGTAACCGATTTGGAGCTCATAGTAATTTCCAGCTACGAAGTCCCTGGAGCAAGTCTTTTCCTCTGAGGCGGCGATTGTCACAAGCAACTCGGGTTCAGCTTTTCAACGCTTGGGTGAGTGTTTGTGATGGGGGACGATAGTCTGCGTTGGGTAAGACTCCATCCGAACCAAGTCATAGCTTGCTCGAGGGATCACAAATCATCTCGTCCTGTTTCAGGGTACCCAAAGGACGCAGCAACATGCTGTCACTTCCAATCCACTCGGTTGTGGAGCGAGACTTGCAACTCGCTGGATACCTCATGGGTGGCCATCGTGAGGCACTGGAGGTGATGGAATACATTCGAAGTGGCCAAATCATGCCTCGCATCACCGAACGGTCCATTCGCGCACAGTGCCCCAACAAGCTCCTCTTCTCTCGACTGTTGGTAGGAATGGGAGGGGGAGATTGATGGAAGATGACCGGCCCTGAGCTGAGCTATAGATGACTCGACATCGATGGAATGGAGCCATAACACCTGCTCGAGCTGCTGGATGCGCGCTTGAAGCTGCATCACCAACGATCTCGGCGCCGTGCCACGGCTGTCATCTTTGGTGTTAAACACGCACTCCATGCCGCGGTTCAGACACCGAGCACACGACGGCTTGTGACCATCACACTATAGAACAGTGAGCTAAGTTTGGTTTCGTCTTCCCGTGCTGCATGTTGCATGATTTGCCTAAGGCTATACCTTTGCTCTCCGTCGCCGACATTCCTGACAAGCTTGTGCCGCATACTGAGCTCGGGGTGTGGCCGATCGCTTCTTTGAGTAGCGCTGTTGGCGATTTGCTTCCGTTGACATCTTCATCAATACGTCTCAATCAGTCCGAGGCTTTTGAACGAGTTGCAATGCTGGGGTGAGTGGAGACTCCGCAATTCGAAAGGAAGGAAAGTGACATGGAGTGGCATTCGCTAATCGATAACGAGGGGGAGGTGATAGTGTCGATAGGAATTCATATTCCGGGCCCGGCGGCGAACCTCAAGGGCCAATATTTAACCCTCATTGTCCAGAGAGTCACCTAGAAGACGTACTGCAAGATTAGTTCTCACAAGACACAACCATCTGCTCTCTCACTTCAACTCCATTCATTTATCATCTACAATCCACCATTATGTCCCACCTCAAGTTCTACGCATACGAGGGCCATGGAGTCCGCCAACAGAAGGTATTCCGCTACAGCCAAGCCGTCCGTGTTGGAGACCGGATCGAATGTTCTGGCCAAGGTAAGAAAGAGACTTCCAATCTTACTGTCCCAGGTACGAGACACTCTTGCTGATCCAGAATCCCGAAGGCGGCTGGGATCCCAAGACAGGAGAGTTTGAGAAAGAGATCAATGCTCAGATTGACCTCGCCTTCGCCAACGTAGAGCTCTGCCTCAAGGACGCTGGAGGCAAAGGGTGGTCCCAGGTGTACCGGGTCAATTCATACCATGTGCCCATCAATAACGAAGCCCTGGAAGCAATGGTTCGCAACTTCAAGAAGTATATGCCAGATCATGAACCGCTCTGGACCTGCGTTGGGGTGACCCGTCTGGGCGAAGACGACATGCGCGTGGAGATCGAGGTAGTGGCCCATGACCCTGAAGGTACCAAGGTTGCTGGCAGTGTATAGTGATAGCCAATCCCACATCTCTTAACGGCACTGTATTCTAAGCTGGTCTCTAAGTCTGTCATAGCGGACAGGTCATGTTCAGTAGTAAATATGCGAGATGCCAATAGAGTCGCAACGGGGCCGGGCAGAACAGGTTATATACATACACATTGATCTGAAAACGGTAAACATTTATATAAATCTGGGATGTTCATCTATGCGCTTGAAGAACGATCTAATCATGGTGATCTCCGAATCCCAGTGCTTTCCATGGGATAACAAAAACCGCACGTAAGGAAAATATGTATCGGGGGTCTAATGGTCTAAGCGGTGACGTTGTACAGAGAGGACATTGCCTGTGGAGGTTTCGTTAGCTTTTACCGGTCCCGCACGCGCTCCAGAGAAGTCGAACTTACCGCAGCCTGCTTGGGTTCAATGAAGAGCGCCTTCGCCTCTACCAGGACTTTCGGCTCCTTGCCATCTTCCGGCAGCGTCTCGATGCGCGCCTCCACCCAGGCTTTGCGACCTTCCACCTTGACCGTCTCTGCTCGCAGCGCGACGTAATTACCCGCCATCGCGGGGAGGCGGTAATCGAGATTCAAGTTGGCGGTGACGCCGACGCGGTTCGGCAGCGCGGGGAAGCAGCAGCGGCCCATTGCCTCGTCCAGCAAGGTGGCCAGGAGACCGCCGTGCACGATTCCGGGATGCCCGCAGAGGCTGGGACCAAGGTAGAGCAAAGAGACCAGGCTCTTCCCGCCCTCCTCGCAGAACACCAACGGCGGCACGACGATCATCTCTGGCCCGGCCAACGTTCCGCCCGTGAGACTGCGCGCGCGCATCTGTGCTGGCATCTTCAAGTGTGGGCGGGATTCAGTGAAGGCGGGGTCCTCGCGCAGCGAGACGGCCAGTGGATGATTGCGAATATAGTCGTCTACTTCCTTGGTGAACTCATCGCCGGGGATGAAGGCGGAGAGGGTCTCCTCGTCGGTGCTTAGTCGGAGGTCCATCATGCCCGAGGCGGTCTTCAAGGTCTGGTAGGATCCTCCAGCGATGAAGGCAAAAACGGCGAGTGACGTGAAGCCAATAAAGCGGCGGAGACGGGATCGAGGAGGGGGAGGAGTGGCTGTATGGTTTGCAGAGAGATGTGTCAGATTAGTTCGGCTGTTCTTTCATGCTGATCGCATGGACGGGACAAACCTGTGGAAGAATATGCCCGACACGTTGGTTTCGGAGCCGGAGAGAAGCGAAAAGACAGTAAAGCTGTGTGGTTTGAAGCTGCGGCAGGCAGACGAGAAGAGGATAAAGAGCGAAGAGGCTGTTGGACACTGCTGAGGATCGCAGTGGATCCCAGGCGAACTGTTGGGACCTGCGGCATGGCGGCGAGACTCTGCGAAAAAGCAGCGCGGGCAGGGGCAAAAGAAAAAGGGGAAGCGGATGGCCTGGGAAAGAAAGCCGCAATGGATCCCTCGGACCGAACCAGATTGCTGAAGACTATCGCGGTGAGGGTTGCGGATCCATCGAGAGTCGGCGCGACAGTGGAACTGGAACTGGAACTGGATGAGAAAGAGAGACCCGCTGCCAAATCCCCTCCAGAAGCTCCGCCCGCCCGCCCTGCTGATTGGTGCGGCGCAGCAGCAGGAGCCGAGGCTCATCGCTCTCGGAGGTCAAAGTATCGTGGTATAATTTCATCATTGTCATTCGGGAATTTTTTTTTTTTGAATTTTCTAGGCCAGAAATGATGGGGGAATGGTAGTTGGGAATAACGAGAGTCATGGGAGGAGTTGAAGTAGCCAGAGTAATTGTAATAGGAAATGTTTAGCTGTTTTGCAGTCACAAAGTCATTGGACCGTGGCTTGTCTGTAGTACAGTAGTACTGTACAACCCACATGTCAATTCTCTCCTACTGTGAAGTACGGAGTACACAATGAGCTTCTCCCTCCCTTCGTCCAACCCCCGACAACCACTACTATCATTCTACCGTCAATGAGTCCCTCTCAATGCCTTTGACAGATTGTACGACACTCACTAACTTTCTTATGGGCCGGGCAGAATTTAAAAAACACCTTGAACTGGAGTACCCCCCTGCAAGCTAATTAGCGCTTCTCTGCGGGAAGTGTGACTAGCGACTTCGCTCTGCATGATCTCATTGAATCTCATCAGACCAATGGAGCTACAATGGTTACATTGCATTCATGACCCTGTCAAGGCTGTCAGGGGCATTATGCTAGGCCGGCAAGATGTTCGCGCAGCTCATTTTGTGGCAGGGGCAATCAGCGCGCCCCTTGACAGTCCGCGCCTGCATGCCAGAACGATTGTTTGTCTCGGCTTTCAGTTCGCCCACACGCGCGCCTTATCCCTCGATTCATTCTCCCTATGGCACTCAAGATGGCCGTTTGGAGTTCGATCTCGCTCCTCTTGATCCTACCTGTTGTTCTGGGCTCGTCTGACCCTGCCTCGGCAGCAGTTGATGACTACGATGTCCTGCAATACATCAATCCTCTCATCGGGAGTGCCAATGGAGGTATGTCCCGCCAACTCTTCCCAAATACTCTATCTTTTGAGCGTCGTTCTGACAGTGTCAATTAGGAAATGTCTTCGCAGGCGCGACAATTCCCTATGGCATGGCCAAAGCCGTAGCCGATACAGATTCGCAAAACAATCAAGGGGGCTTTGCGTTCGACGGGAGTCGTATCACCGGCTTCTCCAGTCTGCACGACTCAGGCACCGGCGGCCAACCCTCTCTCGGAAACTTCCCTCTGTTCCCTTATACAACATGCCAGAATGACGACGTGAATGGCTGCGTCTACCCAAAGAAGGAGCGAAAGACGGCTTATGACCCCTCTTCCATCAAATCAAGTCCGGGATATTTTGGGTTGACAATGAACTCTGGGATTCAGGTGGATATGACTACCACTCATCATGTGTCTCTGTTCCGGTTCCGGTTTCCCGCCAATGTATCATCGAGTCCTCTCATCTTGTTAGATCTTTCCGACTTGTCCGACACGCGCCAGGACAATGGGACTGTTTCCGTTGATGCCACGACAGGACGCATGACTGGCCACGCACGATTCTTGCCAAGCTTCGGAAGTGGCTCTTATGTGCCATACTTCTGTGCTGATTACCAGAGCGCGGCCGACATTCGAGACACTGGTATCTTTGTAGATGCGCGGGCTAGTAGTGATGTCAAGAACCTCACAATCTCGCGCAGCATAAATGGCTACCCTCTTCCGGTATGTCGTTCCAGCTACTGTTGAATACCGAACTGACAGTTTTAGGGCGGTGCTTTTGTACGCTTCGAGGCAGCATCTGAAATCACGGTCCAAGCCCGCGTGGGCATAAGTTTTATCAGTAGCGAGCAGGCTTGTCAAAATGCAGAGACTGAATTATCCGATTTCGACTTCGATAAGACCCGTGCGGCAGCAGTCAATAAGTGGACAGAGAAGATGGCACCAATTAGGGTATCCAGAACCGGGGTGAATGCATCTACCTTGACCAATTTCTACAGTGGGATCTACAGAACTATGGTAAACCCTCAAGATTACACTGGAGAGAATCCGTTGTGGGAAAGTGAGGAGCCATACTTTGACTCTTTCTACTGGTAAGCCAGTCGCTGCAGTAATCTTGTCTCTTCTAACGTGGGCAGCCTTTGGGATTCCTTCCGATCTCAGCTTCCATTTCTGACAATCTTTGACCCTGCATCGTTGAGTCGGATGGTTCGTTCCCTGATTGATACGCAACGACATCTTGGATGGCTACCTGACTGTCGCATGTCACTCTGCAAAGGTAAGCACTGACGTATTGAGGCGCAGTTAATGCTGACAGAGGTGTAGGCTATACGCAGGGAGGCTCCAACGCAGATGTTGTGCTTGCAGACGCATACGTCAAGAACATTAGCAACGGGGTTGACTGGGAAGTCGGGTATGCAGCGGTGCAGAAAGATGCGGAAGAGGAGCCGTTTGACTGGTCCAACGAAGGCCGGGGAGGGTTGCAGAGTTGGAAGGCACTGAACTACATTCCCGTGGAGGACTTTGACTACATTGGCTTCGGAACCCTGACACGAAGTATATCCCGCACGCTAGAATATGCCTACAATGACTTCACTATCGCACAAATGGCTCGAGGGATGGGTAAGACTAGCGATGCGGAAAAGTACGAAAGGACTGCAAAATATTGGCAGAATCTCTTTCGTGCAGATCAGACCTCATTTCTCAACGGCACGGATACTGGATTTAAGGGCTTCTTCCAGCCGAAATACTTGAACGGCACATGGGGATACCAGGTTCGTATACCTACGACACGCTACCATGACACAATCACCGATAGCTTTTTGACATGGCAGACTAATACCTGGCTTAGGACCCCCTAACATGTTCCAACATTGACACAAGCGGCCGATCCTGCTCCCTGCAGAACAACGCCGCCGAGACCTTTGAATCCAGCATTTGGGAATATCAATTGTAAGTTGCACTCTCGCTTTTTAGTGCTTCTTCGAATCAATACTAAGACGAAACACGACGCAGCTTCGTCCCCCACGACATGTCCACCCTCATCACCCTCCTCGGCGGCCCCGACGCCTTCACCCGGCGCCTCGACTACCTCCACGACCGCGGCATCACCTACATCGGCAACGAGCCCGCCTTCCTGACCGTCTTCCAGTACCACTACGCCGGCCGACCGGGCAAGTCCACCGCGCGCGCCCACACCTACATTCCGGCCTTCTTCAACCCGACACCCACGGGCCTGCCAGGCAACGACGACTCGGGCGCCATGGGCTCGTTCGTGGCTATGACGATGATGGGCCTGTTCCCCAACCCTGGCCAGAACGTGTATCTGATCACGGCCCCGTTCTTTGAGAGCGTCAACATCACCTCCCCGCTCACGGGCAAGACGGCCCGCGTGCGCACGGTGGGCTTCGATCCGAGCTACCAGGCGGTATACATCCAGTCGGCAACACTGGATGGACAACCGTACACTAAGAGCTATGTGGGGCACGATTTCTTCACCGAGGGAAGGGAGTTGGTTCTCTGGTTGGGAAGGAATGAGAGTTCTTGGGGCCAGGGAGTTGGGGATCTGCCGCCTTCGCTGGGGACGGAAGGGGATGCAACTTTGAACTTTAGGTATGAGTAGGGGCTCTTGCTCTCTCTTTATGTCTCTTTCGCTCTGTGTGTGTGGCAAACGTGTACGGTAGATAGATGAGGTGTACCGACTGTAGGTCTAGTGTTTGGAAGGTCAGGGTGGTGGTGTGGAAATCGGGTGTAAGTGACAGTATACATGCTCAACACGTGTGACTTGTCCACCTTTGACATGAGGATTTGTACTGCTAGAACTGCAACACTAATGAACAGCATTGCTGGGAAAATAAAGCTGCTTTTCTTTTCCACTTCATCTCTCATTTGGCACTGCTTTTCATTCCGCCCGCTTGGGTACCTTCTTTCTACGGAGGCGGTGGCACAAGCGGCTAGATAAGGCTCACCTCGCAAATACCAGTCCGCACAGCGTGCCCTAAACTGTGGAAGGCCACGGGGCATTGCCTACGTTAGGCCGAGTGAGAACCCGCAAATTGAACAACATCATGCGAGCTGCCCAAGTAGCATTCCTTTTCAATCATCACCAGGATATGGTATGCCAAACCCGACCTTCACCCTATCGGTGATCGGGACGGCTTTCGGTTACGGGGAGTCCCGGGGAGTCCGCGGCATACACTATTATCCTGGGCGACAAAAGCACGAAGCTGGTGGAGAGGTCATGGGTGGAGGATTTGTTCGGTGAGTCGGATTGGGGGCTCGTTTTTGCTCTCTTGCACCCGCACAAGAGGAAAGAACTGACTCTAGTTAATTATTATGCCAAACAAAGAACGAGCGGCTTCCCTCCGAGCTTGGGTGGACTAAACGGGAGGAGTCGAGTCCATCTCGATGGACGACCTGGAGGGCATGATGTAGCGGATTGGGAATGCTAGCGGTTATTCGGAGGAGTTGAAAGGGGAGTTGAGTCGGCGGGGTGGAAGGTGTAGGGAGGGTTGAGGCTGGATTGGATAATGTGTCTGGCCTGTATATCATATTGTGTTGCATCGCGCCTCGGAGCATAGGGTGTGGGTTCTGTCGAGGTCTAGCCCTAGTATGAGCCAGAGGATGTGAAGCTGGGACTGGAAGAGAAGTCATGCAGCTGGAGCAATACCCAACTCAGTCACATCACATCACACTATATTGGAAGTCGGACGAAGTGGCGAAATAGACAGTAGTGATAGGCTCTTGGCGCAGTAGGGACAAGAGCCTTTTGATACTCAGCACAACCCAACCTACGATTGTTTTCAAGTCCGACTAAGCCTAAGGGCTATTCCAGCAAGAATAAGCCAAATATCAATAACATTGCCACATTGAAGATAACAGTAGGATCCCGTGCTTTCCACGAGACTCGTCTTTATTTGTGCTAATTGATGTTTCAGATTTAATGCTTGCCCTATTTCCAAAAGCTCCGTTCCCGTCTCAGAAGCATTCCCAAGAGTTCTATTCTCTGTATCTTTCTCTCTTTCCCCCATTAACCAGGCTTCAATCTAAGCAAACTCGACCACTGCCCCGCAGTGCAAGAGACCCCCGATCCAACGACCGTCAGACACCCAGCCCGTCAGGTCCGCTTCAGCAACGTCACACAGTCATCTTTCCCGTCCACCACGACCTCCTGGGCAGGAACACTATCAGCACTCACCATACGCCCCTCCATCTGGAATCCCTGCGCAGCATCCACGCAGTCTGCATTCTGGCGGATCTTAGGCAGCAGATACGCCGGATTCAACAAGTTGTATCTTGAAGGTATTTATTCCTGGAAGCTCTGCTCTTGCTCTTGGAGTCTTCCGGGTGGTCGCCACTGCGGATTGGGCGTCCTTGGAGGATGGGCCATACACGCACTGAACTGAATGGTTGAGGCAGTTCGAGCACTCAGGCTTCATCTCATCGCACTGAGATCCAATTAGCGTTCTCTCCGAGACTTTTCTATTGAGGGATATGCAACACCTTGACGTGCCTGCTTTTACAAGTCCTACAGCCATTCCGCGATTTGCGGTGGGACTTTCGTGGCATGACAAGCTTGGGTGCTGAGTTCGGAGACGAATCTGAGCCGCCCATCAACAACGAATATTCGATTTGATTTTGACATCATGGTCAGTAGAACGAGTATGAGCCGTTAAAAACTCCTGGAATATGCAGAAGCTACAAGTACTAAAAGTAACAGTTAATAACAAACCGTGGACTGATTGGGTGACATATCTGGTTGGCAACCCGGCCACGTAAGCAAGCAGGCTATCTCTCTCCGCAACTGAGGCAGTGTGATTAATTATCCATCATTTCACCTGAAACTCCTACATTTCGAAGCCATCTACCAGGATCCATAACCCTGATACATAACTTAAAGAGGTTTACTGTATTTCTGAAGATACACCGCCTACAAGGCATAATCCAGCCTGCTGGTTGAACAACAACAAAGGATACATACTGCGGAGAACTTAGTTATTTCTAAAGAGCAGTCCTCCCTCTTCGCCCGCCACTCCTCTCTCAACACCTCATTTTTACCTCATGCCAAACCCAGCACCGCCATGCAACCCCACAACGTAGATCTCATTCGCAGTCTGAACGAGCTCTATACCCTACTATATCAACTCGGGGCCTATGAAGAGGCCAAGATTCTCCGACCAGACGGCAGCAGCATAGGAAGTCGACATCCCGAGGGCGCTTTCAACAGCTCTGCGGCTCTGGCCGCCGGATTCACTCCGGCCGTGGTTGATGTGATGTACCAGATCCCATATCTCGATGTGGGGGTGCTGGATTTCCAGATCTGCCCCAATACCTTCTTGGTCAACTATCGAAGTGAGAAGGATTCCGACCAAGGGAGCTTCGAGGCGTGGCGATCGACCTGTTCCCCGGAGATCGAATTGCCCGAGAACACGATGGCCTTGACGCAAGCCTCGGGCGGGGGCAGGGTTTGGCTCTATGATGTGGCAACCGGTGTGTTTTCCTTCATCCTCTTCTCTTTCCCCGCTAAGCTGGATCATTTCATTTCTTTTCGATGTTTTGTTTTCTACCTCTTCTTTCTCTGGTTTTCATGGTCCTGATTTACCTTACCCCAGGACTTATGCGCGACTGGGACTTTGAGAGTGAGGATGACCCCCTGGTAGTAGCGGCCGATCTGCCCTCCAAGGTTCTGGCGCCCTATATCGAAAAATACAGGAGTCTGCACTATCTGATCACCCCGATGGAGTTGGATTGTGCGTGGGAGCTGTTCATGGCTGGGCATCCGCCCGAGGACTGGGGGCCCTGGGACCGGTTGAATTGGTACATCGACTATGGGGAGTGGAAAGCGACCCGATATCTCAAGCAAATCTATCTGCAGTATGGCTGGAAAGTGACTCCCGGGATGTCTCCATCACAGGAGCAGTTCCGACGAGCGGACTATCTGCGGGCGAGAGACCAGTATTGGGCAGAGGTTGTTGCGCCCCTCGGCAAGGCAGCGGAAATGTTTCGAAGACAGCGGATGGTGGAGACGTGTGAGAATTGAATTCAACCTTGCTCCCCGAGCTGGATCGGAAACCAGAAGTCATGGGGACGTATCCCCTGGAATTACGCGCTGATTGCACGTTCACGCTCGACAGCCGACTGCTCTCTAAGCCTCGCCGCCTCGTTCAAGCTTATCGGCCAATTGCCTGTTTTACGCATAATAAGGTCTCTTAGCTCTTGTGGCAAGCCGAACTAGGCGCCGAATTGGTTGAACACTGCGTTTTCTCTCTACTAGGTATGCTGTTGTGGTAGCACGTTGCGGGAGGAGCAAATGCGGTAGTACGGGTCGATTAGCCAGATGGTGATAAGCTGCTGGTAACCCGGGAGATTAGGGTCTTAAAGTGAGAAGGGCAGTGTCCGGTATCGCAAGGTATTAGGCTAGGTTAGGAAGTATTCCTGATGGGTGACAGTTACTGATCCCAGAGTCTGTAGCATCGGAGGGGCGTCACGGTAAGTCGCTGGGTCTTCGTCCGTCCGGGACAGACCAAAGATGTTTTACATTACATAGGGCTTTAGGGTGATCTCGAACGCGTCCAAATCGACCTCTTGCTGGAAGTCGATGCGCGTGTCGGTGATATTCTTAATATCGTAGTAGTATTGCGCTGCGGCGACTACGTGTTTATTTCGGAGCCCATCAACATGGTAGTCGGCATCTCCAGAAAAGTTTGGGTTCTCTGCATTTAGCTCAATGCTGCTGACACGCACGATCACTTGCAAGCCCTGCTTACAAAATTGGCTCTGCAAACAGGCGAAATGATACTGGTGATCCTGGGGTGGTGGAGGGGGGTCCTCAAACACCACTCTAGAAGGTTTCCTTATATCAACAATCGGCCTCCCGGTTCTGCCTAGTTTCCACTCATCATAGAAGTATGAGATACCAGCTCCAGGAGACCCGAAAGCGTGAAGTCGACCCCATCTCTCTTGTACATGTGTCAATGCAGAAGAGCAGAAAGAACGGAGACTCCAAGACGGCGTGAGAAGCTAGAGCCGGATGTGTGTCGTTCACCCAAGCCACCGGCAGCAACGGCAGCCCACACGCTAACTATGTAGTGGTCATGGTTCTTATACCGTAAAACTGTGGTATGAGGGTTTAGACTCACATGGCTTCAAAACTGCTGACTCGCACTCGACAAGTAATCTTAGATCTACAACATGCCGATAAGCGGAAGACACTATACTATTTACGGGCGAATTGGCAAAATGGCCCTTTGAAGACGTGCGATTGACTGCATGCCTCCTTCCTTCATTTGTAATAGCGCTTTACTATGCTCTCTCTCCATCCGACCTTGATGCCCCCCAAGCCCATTCATCCATTCCGAGTCATGAAATTCCCTTGCTGTATCGACTCGCTCTCTTCTGTGACATAGGGCACGGGTGTTGCCCGCCTACAGCGGGACCACCGAAGTATACTAGCCCTAACCGTCCGAGCGGGAGATCACGAACCTCTCCACCACGAGCTATTCGTACCATTGACAACTGGTCCCGTAGACCACGGATACCTGCAAGCGCTTACCCCGTGGCGGCGTGTGGATCTGGTGATCGCCCGACCCGGCGCACCATTATGGAGTCGACGCGGCCCGGCATCCAGAACCTGACCAAAAATCCCTTAGTTCTAACCCTCACGCGGGGTCCTGATCAGCTCCGGCGCGGCTGCCGGCAGGTGACATCGTCAAGATTGGTCCGGGTTGGGAGGAGGGCCAATACGAAAATGAACAATTTGGTAGAAGTCTGCATCTACTTCGAAGTTTGAGGTGACAGAAGCGTTTGGTTTCTCTTTTCTTTTCACGAAGATGATGACGTTTTTTTGGTCTCATCGTTGGACAATGTACCGCACTGCATTGCAATGCGCACAGCATACACTGGGAAATAAGCCCGAAGAAGGGTTCGATCATACACGTATCTTTTGTCGGAAGAGCGTCTCTCAACCCCTTTTTCAGGGAACATGAAATGCAGACCCAAGGGTGATACCCAAAACTCTCCATGCAAACATTAAAAAAAGAATATAGTTCGTCATTCTGTCTTCATGCCCCTCGCTCGCCGCCCCAGCAAAGAAGACACACAGAGAAAGAGGAGAAAAAAAGGGAGAGGATGGACATCATTTCAGCATTACCCATTTGAATCGAAAAAGTCCCACCAGACACACCAAACAGCTTTTGTATATGTGGGGGCGGGGGGCGGCTGGTGAATCAGGTCATGACCCACTCAAGGGTGGAAGTAGCTTAAAAAAAGGTTCATGTTGGGTTAGCTTCTGCATTTCGGCATCTTTGCATCTCTGCATCCGCTTTCTGCTATATTTTTACAAGCCTGTGTCCGCACATGAGAATGGACTCCCGACTGTTCCTTCTCGGTAGCTGATAATCACACTTTCGATGGAGGCCTGTTCGAGTGTTAGTTCTTCCTCTGCGGAGAATAGGCGTGATGGGTAACGAGCTGCGCGGTTCCAAGGACGGGGCAAAGGAGGGACGAGCTAAAAAAAAAAGGGGAGGCAGGAGCATATGAACCTACATAAGTACCCGGTCCCAAGAAGAACAACCCCGCGAGAATCAACCCGACGTTCACGATGAAACCCAACCAGCCCTTCCACCCGCGATTCTTATAGAATCCCGGCCCGTATTCCTCGCGGCGCATGCGCAGGTACGCCGTACCCCAGAAGATGAACCCGAAGAACGAGTCGAACAGGGCGCTCATGATGGACTCCAGATCGGAGAAGAAGGGGATGACCTCTGCGATAATGAAGGCGGCGATCCACAGACAACACAGAATCCCGGCCCAGGCGGCCCAGCCGACAACGGTGTGGTTGCCCTTGTGGCGGGTGCCGTCGAAGAGGCGGAAGAAGAGGAAGCGGGCGGAGACGGAGGCGTACAAGACGCCCAGAAACACGAGTGTGGGGATCATGAAGGAGAAGGAGACCTTCTTGTAAGTCTCGTTGCCGAGGGAGCCGAACGCGGGCGAGGTGATGTATTGGTTACCGGTGTAGGCGTACACGATGGCGCCGACGAGGGAGAAGACGATGATCTCGGCGATGGTGACGGCGGTGACGGACTTCCAGAAGTCCTTGGGCTCGCGCATCTCAGCGATGAAGCTCGGAAGCGTGATCTGGCCGATGAAGGTGTAGCTGATGTTGAGGAATGCGCTGACGCCCGAGACGAAGGTGGTACCGGCCACCGGCACAGCGGTCACGATGGGGTCGCCCTTGGCCGGAGTGTAGCCGGCCGGGTGGTCTTCGATAGCGGAGAAGATAAGGGCGAGCATAACGGAGATGAAAGTGGTGAACGCGGAGAGGGTGGCCACCTTGGAGAGCGCGTCGAAGGTCCGCGGGAGGGAACAAACGAATGAGATGACCGCCGTCACAACGGAGAAGACGATTGTACAGGCTCCATGTCCGGTGATCGTGTTGAGATATTCTGCGCCAACGAGGCAATGGAGGCCCTAATGACAATTAGTTTCAGAGCTTGCAAGGTCTGATGTGCGACATTGTCTCTACCTGAATGAAGGTGTTGTTCAGCAGGAACATGACAGCCGTCAAGTACCAGACCACCTTCGAATCCCAGAAAATCATCTGTCCAATGTCGCACACATCGCGTACGTGAGGATGTCGCAAACAGAAACGCCTGAATATGTGAGTTATATCCTGCGGCGCGCGTGAAATTGTGTGACGTACCAAATGATCAACGAAGTATACAGCACAGTCATGGCAATAAACACTGTCAGAATCAATCCAGGTACTAACCCCAGAACGGAGTAGGACCAGGGAAACGACATGATAGCCAGACAGATGTACTCGGAGAAGAGAAGCGCCGCCGTCTAGAGACCAGGGCTCATATTAGCACGAATACTCACTCACTTCCCAGTGATAGCTTTGCGGCCACGCACCTTTTGCCAACTACATGTGCGATACTTGATGGAGTTCTCTGCCTCCATTTGAATTTGTCTGCCCACTTCCCCTTCAGAGTCCGAGCTCGACCCGGGTTGTAATTTCTGGCTCTCCAGGTCCGCATGTTTCGTCTCGTCGGTCAGACTGAGCTCGGGGACAGAGGAGCGGCCCGTGGGCTCGGGGACGGTGGACTCCGCCATTTTATGGAGCGGACAAGCCGCTGGTGTAGGGAGCGAGCGAGGATGGAAGCTGAAAATAGGAGGGAAACCTTCGGAGGCATGTACTGCGCTTGGAGGGGAAAAAAGAGTCTGGTTTTGTGGGAAGAGAGAGTCTTAGTCGCGGCATCAGCACATGGATAGAGTGTGGGGAAACTTACCTTAGACTGAGGAGAATGACTGACTGACTCAGTCAGTGACTGACAAGCAATGGAAACAGTACTCTTATGAAGTCCTGGAAACCAGAAGTAAGTTGTCAGAGTGAAGGAAGTAGAGATTGCGCAGGAAAGATGCAAGAGCTGGGCAGCTGAAATCTTTCCACCCACTGAGAGACAGACAGACAGACAGAAAGAATAGACAAGAGGGTGCGCCGATCGCCCCGGGTCGAGGCTAGGCTAGCCCCGAAGGAACAGGCAGAAAGTTCCCAAGCAGTCAATCAATGAGCAATAAGATAAAAGAAAGACTGGTTGCAATCTCCGACCCCAACTAAGGTTGTTCCCTGTTCGGATTTTGCAGCGACGGACTCGGAAGTTCTGCTTTCATGAGATGACGTAGCAGGCCCATCCCGCGGAACAACAACAGCATACTGCAGTATGTATGGCTGAGCATTGACAATTGGGCTCCATAGTAAGATTTGGGACTGTTGAGTATTGCTATAGTAATAATCTTCGCTGCCATTGGCATGAAGATATCGAGTAACAAGAACTTCCAGCGACCGTTTGTCTTCTCCATCATGGATAGTGCTAAAAACTACTCGGTACAGTTTCCTCCCCGCCCGCCGCACTCGGCAATTCCCCGCTCCACACCAGTTGTCGGACGCTCTCTGGGGCGGATGGACCCGATCAGCATGCATTTCCTTCTTAGTCTGACCTCCCGCCCCGCATTCGGCTAGTTGACATTCCACTGGACTTGCTCCTGCAGAGATAATAGTTTATGCTTGAATCTCAATCGCAATACTTCTTCCGCTGAAACAGCATTCCAATGATACCAACATCGACTGTGCAAGGCGCATCATGCGATCATTGCTCTAATATTTTTCAAAGGATTTAAATCCCAGTCCAGTCCATAGTGGAGCCTATCAGAAATCTCTGCTGACCAGGGCTGCATCAAAGAAAAAAAAATTGAAAAGTAGGAAGAGGGGCAAACGGAAGTTGGACCTCGAATTAACCTCTAGCACGCTATGCGCTAGTTGATGGCGTGCTTCCAAGGTTGTTGTTTGTTCACATTGCCTTTCCACGTGTGAGATGTCGGACTTACCATGTTTCTCCATGCACACACACACCTCCAAAAAACCAGGTTACTCGCCCGGGTGTCGGGGATGTCCGAATCGAGCAGATCGATTTTGGCTGGGAAGAAAAACTGGCCCAGTGTGGCTGAACGCTATGATGTCATCCGCCCCGACCGAGTGGGTGAAGCGCAGCGCCACAATTCCGCACTAGTGGCTGGAACTGCCAACGGCTCTGCAATTCTAGACCGTCTCTACTGTCACTGTTCATATGAAGTTCATATGATTGTTTACGTCTGACTGATGAGATGCGCCATGTGAAAGTTGTGAAAATAGAGTAAAAAAGAAATACTACATAGAGCTTTTGTGGTATCTGCAGGATGCGATTGACTAAATACAACAAGAACCTGGGTTTCACATACCCTCGTCTTCCCCGGCCAGCAGGGCCGCATAATCCTCCATCGACGCGAAGGTAGGCAGGTGCTTGAGCTTGCGCCGCTTCTTGCGCCCACTGTCCTTCTCCTTCTCCTTCTCGTCCTTGGACGCACTCGGCAGGTGAGCGTCGAGCTCCACGTCCGACGGCAGCTCTTCGTCGCTGTCGATAAACGCCTCCTCGTCGGAGACGTCCATGTCGAACGCCTCCTCGTCGTCCGAGGGCTCCTCCTCTGCCTTGGCCTTCTTCGTCTTCTTGGCCGGGGCAGGGACCTCGTCGATGTCCTCCATCTCGTCGTCAGAGTCGAGGTTGATCTCCACTTCATCGTCACCGCCGGCTTCTTCATCGTCGCTCTGGTCGTAGGCAGACTCCAAGTCGTCCAGATCCAGGTCGTCGTCGTCGCTGACGCCAGCTTCCAGGTCGGGCCGAGAGTCCACCAGGGCCTTCCAGATCTCGGACTCGGCGTCGCTGAGCTCGCCGTCCTCGTCCTCGTCACCCGCATCCTTGTCGGCCTTCTTCTTGCGAGCCTTGTCCTTCTCCTGGCCCTTGCCGATCCGGTTGAAGTACTCGTGGAAGAAGACATCCTCCGCCGCCACATCCTCCGCCTTCTTCTTCCAGAAGGCTTCCGAGTTGAGCGGCAGCTGCGCGCCAGTCTTGACGGCAGCGACAAGGCGATCCTTGGCGTCGCTGCCGGCAAGAGGCTGCATGATCGAGGCTCCACGGGTGGCCGCAGCCGCCTTAGGAGTGCGGTAAACGAAACGGTCGAGGAAGTGGGTGAGAGTATGGATAGTCAAGTCGGGCTGTCCGCTCATCACCTGGTGATCAAGTAAATGAGCCGCGTTGACCGAGACGGAGGGATGGAAGTGAGACAGGTAGGGCAGCTGGAAGTCGAAAGTCAGTAACTGCAGAATCATGGCCGAATAGCTATACGTACAAGTTCCCAGAGACACGTGCGGTCGGCGTTGCTGTGTTCGGGGTCTCTTTTGCGGGGGTCGTAACGAGTAGACGGCTTCTCGGGTTTGGTCTCTTCGGGCTGTTCCTGAGGCTCATCGTCCTCGTCAGGAACGTCTCGGAAGACTTCCTCTTCATCGTCTTCGTTCAGCTCGGGCTGGTCGAACAAGGCGCGGAGATCGGGGAACGTCTTCTCCAGCTCACGAATCAAGTAGAAGACACCGCAAATGAATGCGGGCTGGTGCATTCCGAGTATCTGAAGGAGACGCTTGACAAAGGCCTTGACGCGGCGAGTGTTTAGATCATTCTTCAAGGACTTAAACAACAAATTGAGGTAAAGGGATTGCTTGGAGGACGTTGCCAGGCGTGGATCAAGCAGCGATTCGTACAGAGTTCGATAGAAGCGATCCGCACCGACCTGGTGGGATGCCGTCAATTGCTGGATCAGCATGAGGGCCTGGATACTCGTGTTGAAGTTGGAAGAGTGCGTGATGCGGAAAAGAGTGCCGAGGTGCTTCGTCAGGCTGATCTATGCGTTAGCTTGGTCATGATGCACGGAGAATATAGGACATACCGTTCACTGTCCGAGCTTGTAAAGGGATAAGCTCGGTTCACACCGGTCAAGACCGCGGATGTCAACTTGTCTTGCATCTCTTCAGTTTGCGCCTGACCCTTGTCGTCGTCCTTGCCCTTGCCCTTGCCCTTGTTTCCGAATTTGCCATGCCTCTTGCCCTTGTAACCCTTGCCCTTGTCTTCCTTGGCAGGCTTCAATAGCGAAACGAAGAGGGCAAAATAGATGTCGAGCAATTTCTCAGCGACCTTCTCCTCCTTGACACTCAGGACCGTCTGGTTGAGCGAGATGATAGCATAATACTTGGCGTGCTGGCTTTGACCAGGCCGGAAGAGGACCTCCTCAACAGCTGAAATAATCGTGGACTTCATGAGAGGATGCGCCTGCTCGAGTTGCAAAAGTAGGTAAGAGGCCCGCGAGGCAATCTTCTTAGACGTGTCACCAAGCTTGTTCACCAACAGGCGCAACAGATTCGTCTCCTGCTCAGGCTTCTCCTTCAACAGTTCGTAGACGTAGCTGACAGCGCGAGAGCGAGAGAAATCGATCTCGTCGTTGCACCAGACTTCGAGAATCTTGAGAACCTCGAAGTACTGATCCTTTAGGAAATGTTCGTAGGCCCAGACGATCAGGTGGCTGTTCTGAAGACCATTGGGAAGAGCATCTCCCTCAGCCCAGCGGTTGCTCACACCTTGCAAGGCAGCCACAAGCGATGGCTGGTTGGCGAAGGCCCGGAGTCTGCGATCGCTGGGCAAGATGGTTCCTTGGGCGAACATATCTTTGAGCGACCGAAGAACTTCAACGGCCTGAGCACGACTGCGCTTCTTTCCGAGGGCAATCAAGTTCTCCAGAGCCTTGGTGTTGTGAAGGGGCGATTCTTGTACGGCAAGCGTCAAAGCGGAGATCTTATCGCTAAGCGTACCAGTGGACATAATAGTACTGTAGAACTTGTGGGATGAAGAGGCAGAAGCTGCTTGCGCGTCTGCGTATTCTTTAGCATCCTTTTCGAGAAGCGAGTTTGCGTAAGTGTGGAATCGCTCGATCAGGTGGCGGGCAACAGGGTTCGATTCCTTCTTCGCAATGGGTGGAAGTTCGATCATGAACCAGTCGGACCTCGGAGGAACGGACTGATCGTCTGGTCAGCATGTTTAGCCGGAAACATGGATGAGTTGACTCACCAATTTGGAGAACTCCTTCGGGAAGATGTTCTCAGGAGCGGCCTGCTTGACAGCCTTCTTGTCCTCCTTCGGGGCTGGCGTGGGAGGTTCATCCTCTGAGGCATCTTCTTCGTCCTCTTCCACGTCCTCCTCATCATCTTCAGCATCGACTTCGATGCCTCCAGTCTCTTCGTCTTCATCTTCATCTTCCTCTTCCTCCTCCTCTTCATCTTCCCCTTCAACTTCGTCGTCTTCAAGGTCATCCGGAACCACCTGGCCTGCGGCAGCCAGCATGCTAGCCAGCTCCTTCCTCAGGAAGTCATCCTCAGACTTGCCCTTGGATTTCTTCTCGGTGGCATCCTCAACCTCGGACTCGGAGTCAACACCGGCCAAGAGATCCAAGTCCTCTTCCGTACCCCCCAGGGCCAGAATCTCCTGCCGTAGAACATCGTCGCCATCCTCCTTGCTCTTCGGCTTTCCCTTTCCAATGTCCTTCGTCGCCTCCCCAGCAATCACATCACCATTGCGATCGCGCTTCTTTCCCTTGTTGTTCTTATCGTCGGCGGACGTCTGCTTCGGCTGAGGTTTCGACGCAACCGGCTGGTTCTTCTTGGGGGTATCAGCCGGTGCCGACTTTCCCTTGCCGTTCTTCGACTTCTGCTTGGCGTTGTTCTGATCCTTCAAGCGCTGTTCGATCTTCTGTCGCAAGCCGGCGAATGCACTCTCCTCCAACTGGGGGAGAGACTCAGCGGCAGGGGTGGGATTTTTGGCGGCAGCACCGCCACCAACACCCTTACCTAGAGGGATGTTGTTCGCTCCAGAGGAGGAGGAGCCTTTGCCCTTATTGCCTTTGGCCATATTGACAGGGTGGGATGAATGGCCAAAATGCTTGCTCTCCTTCAACTTTTTTTCTGCCACCCTAAAAATTATGGGGGGTCCGCTTCTTTCCAGGCCGCCGGAGAAATGGGCGGGCCGATTTGCCCGTAGTAGTACTGGCTGTGCCCGACGCTCGGACCACGTCAATTATTCCCATCGGGTTTAGTGCCTGGGCCGATAAGAACCGCGCTTCTTTCTTGGGGATTGCCGCGCATTGCCAGCGGAGATGTGAATATCTCTTTCCCCGTTGGAAAACACCTCGAGGCTGTGCTTCGGGATTTTGGCTCTTCATGTTCTCGCGCATACGCCCTACAGTGGGCCGAGCGCCCGGAGTCTCTCGAGTGCACCTTAGCGTCATTCAATTCGGGTATAGAACGTCCAAGAAAGCCTTTCATGTATGAGGTATCTTTCGCCATAGCTTGTATAAGATCTAACTAGTCATACTGTCAGACCGATGGCAGGACTCGGATATCGAATTTTTGGATTCCGACGGGAGGTATCACGAAGAAGCCAGTGGAGGGTGAAAGAGGTACGCTACTAAACTGAATCATCGATCACGTTCTATGCAACTGACGCTACACAGAGGACACAAATGACCTCCTAGTGAGGGGTGGCTTCTTGCGACAGGTACTGTCAGCTCTCGTCTTGGCAAGTACTGGGCTAATCAAATGCATAGGCGTACGCGGGAATTTTTCACATGCTGCCATTGGGGTTGCGCGTGCAGGATAAGCTTGAGAGACTCATAGATAAGCACATGCAGTCAGTCGGTAAGTCTACGGCATCATGATTGTTATGTTCTACTGAGACGTCTAATATGTGACAAATAGGCGCATCTAAGGTGTCACTCTCGTCGATATCATCCCAAGAGCTCTGGGAGCAATCGGGACGCCTCAAAGAGGGGTCGGATGTAAGCCTCTTGCTCTCTTCTCAGCCATGAGCTCCCCCTAATGAACAGGCAGGTCTTCCGTTTCCTTGACCGCAAAGAAGCACGCTTCATCCTCGCGCCCACTCATGAAGAGGAGATTACGACTCTTGTCGGGAGTCTTACCAAGTCGTACCGAGATCTGCCCGTGCGCGTGTACCAGATTTGTCAGTAAAGCTTTCCCACGCTTCTCGACCAAGTCTAATCGTAGAATAGCGAGAAAATACAGAGATGAGCAGAGACCCCGGCAGGGTCTTCTTCGCGGTCGAGAATTCATCATGAAAGACATGTACACGTTCGACTACAGTCCCGAGACCGCTCTCCAGACTTACGTGGCTGTCAAAGGCGCCTACACACGGCTTTTCGACGAGCTCAAAATCCCCTACCTGGTCGCTGCTGCGGACTCGGGTAATATGGGCGGGAGCCTGAGCCACGAGTTCCACTTCCCCAGTGCGAAGGGTGAAGACACAGTCATCAGCTGCACCAGTTGCGACAATGTGTACAACGAGGAGCTCGCGGACGGAAAGGCTCACGCTGGCGTGGACGAACAGCCTCAGACTCATCAGAGACCTGGCTTCGACACCGGTGAGAACTCCGGTGAGGCCACGCCCGCCGTCTCAGTCGGTCTGTGGATGTCCATCTCCAAAGACAAGAACACGCTGCTGCGGTGCTGGTTTCCGCAGTACACCATCCAAGAAAGCCCTGTGGAGAGAGAGGTGAACTCCCACGCCGTCAAGTCCATCGCCGACGCCGCTGGGATGGAAATCGATGTCAGCGTCGAGAACCCGCTCCAGCAATGGGCAACGCACGTCAAGCTCCACAAGGCTTCCGCTCAGCGCCCGCGGATCGTGGATCTGTATGACTCGCGCGTGCGCGCATACAAGCGCCCCCCGCTTACCGACACATTGGAGGAGGTCGGCTGCACAGCGGAGGACGTGGATTTCTCGAAGCTGGATCGCTTCCCAGGCACGAACAGCCATCTGAACTTGGTGCGGGTCCACGAGGGCGATCGATGCTCCAAATGCGGCGAGGGTCTGGCACAGACGCACAAGGCAGTCGAGCTCGGTCACACATTCCATCTAGGCACCCGCTACAGCGATGTCCTAAAGGCCACCGTGATGGTCGACCAATCTGCTATGCCCAAGAACAAAGACAGCAACAAATCCGGCCCCCAGACCGTACCCATGGAGATGGGCTGCCACGGAATCGGCGTTTCGCGCATGATCACTGCGGTAGCGGACAGCCTGGCGGACGGCAAGGGACTGAACTGGCCTCGCGTCATCGCGCCGTACGAAGTTATCATCGTGCCGGGCAAGGGGCTCGAGGCGGAAGCGGAGAAGGTCTACGACGCACTGACCGTGGCGCCTACTTCTGCCTTGGATGTGATTCTGGATGATCGCGACAAGCAAATGGGCTGGAAGCTCGGCGATGCGGACCTGATCGGATACCCGGTCATCATTGTGGTTGGTAAGGGATGGAAGAAACAGCAAACCTTGGAGGTACAATGCCGTCGGCTGAGCGTGCGTGAGGATGTCACACTTGAGGCTCTTCCGGCGTTTGTGCAATCTCTGCTGCAGCGATTGTAAGCGCTTTCGCGTGGGTTGTAGGCTATGCTGATATCCGAGATCGGGGCTATGCTGTGTTCTTCCCGAGGCTGAGTGGCACGGAGCTTTGTAAGATAGAAAGACTATTCAAAGAAAAATCAGAAGTAGATTGACCGCAAATTATACCCCACTCCTTTCAAATGTGCTGATAAAGAAGATGAGTCAACTTCTTAGATCACTGGTGAGATCTATCATTGAAAGGTCAGAGCATAAAGAAGTTTTAGGCAGTCTGCCTGGAACTATTGAACTCTTGGCATCCCCGGGTACTGGGTATTGTTCACCGTGCCTGGAAAAGAATCACCAAACCTCAACTATATAAGGCGACCGATCAATCCACTAGATTGACGCAACTCACCAAGCCCATCAATACTTGACCGATCAACACCAATCGATCGATCTTCATCCTTTTCACACACACAAACACACACAAACACACACGCACCTCTTAAAAATTACCGACAACCATGTCCACAACACCAGATTCTGACCCCACCACCACCGCCGCCCCGCCAGCGGTGACAACCATCCCCCGCGTCGGCATCGCCGTCCTCATCTTCGGGCGCGCCAACCAAGTCCTGCTGGGCGAACGCAAAGGCAGCCACGGCGCCGGCACCTGGGCCCTGCCGGGGGGCCACCTGGAGCCCGGCGAGACGTGGGCCGCGTGCGCCGCCCGCGAGGTCCTTGAGGAGACCAACCTGGCCGTTTCGGGGCTCCGCTTCCTGACGGCCACCAACGACGTGATGGCCGCCGAGAACAAGCACTACATCACCATCTACCTGGGGTGCACGCCGACGCGGCGCGAGGATTGCAGGGCCCCGCCGCCCGTCATGGAGCCCAACAAGTGCCGCGAGTGGCGCTGGGTGGAGTGGGAGGAGGTCACGCGGTGGTATCGGCTGCAGGACGAGGCGGAGAAACTGGCTGCCACAGACTTCACTGCTAGGAATTCCGCTGGGAATCCCGCTAGGCTGGGGCTCGAGCATCCGTTGTTCTTGCCGCTCATGAACCTCTTTCGGCAGCAGCAGTATTGGTTGCCGTTGCAGGAGTATCAGTTGTTGACTGGGTGGGAGGAGGATCGCTAGGTGATGATTAGGGAAATGAGGTTATGCATGTTATGATGTTTTCGATAATGGATTTCTTATTCTTATGTATCTTTTTGTGACTACGTTTTGTACTTTTAGACTTGTTGATCACTTTGTTGACGTTTACTTCGCTCTGGGAGTTAATTTTATTTACTGCACTGTATGGTGAGTAAGCTGTGCCTTAACTGACATAACTAATGGATGGACAATGAACCATCTACTTGACTCCTCACTACGACGCATGTGCCTTCTTCTCTTTTGTACATACTTGTACCATTCACCCATCTTGAAGGTTCATGTCTGGTATGCCTCTCAGATTACTGCATCAATATAGCATGTATCTTGTGCCTGTTTGTGGAGACTTCAAGTCCTGCAAGGCATTGTCTTTTGTACCAGTTCGGCACAGTAGGATAGGGTGCTCGAATTATAGAATAAATTGCGAGACAGTCATCATAAGGACTAGAGACCCCTACCTTTTTTCTTGGTGAGAACAGAAGAGAATGCCACAGCCTTGGTTCTGCCATGCAGCTCTAGCAATAGCAATGCACAAAAAGAAACCTGAAATATGCCGTACGAACGGGGTCAGTGGAAGCGCTTAATACTTGAAGAGCTTCTCAATAGACTCCTAGAAGACCCTTAGGTTGCAAAGGGGTTCCACGCATTACGACCCAAGCTTGACTGATGTTCCGATTCCTCCAAAACAGATGGCAGTAGTTTTGCTTGGGTGACTACTTCCCCAAAACCCCCAACATCTCCCCAACTTCTCCAACACCACTTCACAAACCCTCCCAGACTCATACGGTCATGCACAAGATCAGAGACAATCCCTCGCTATTCCCGGAGCAAATACCTATTCCAAGGACACAGGAAGACTGGAAGAGCTTTGACAAACAGATGACGTCCATACATGCCCTGACAGTCCTCCAAGCCATGCGACAATCGGATGACCTTGAAGCCTCTAATGGCTACAAATTGGCTGGTTTGTCCCAGTCTCTCTCATAAATACGGCATTACAGCCCCTCCTAATCATTTCTTTACTCTTCAGAAACTATCTCAAGCTAAATTGAACCTCTGACAGCGCAAATTTCTCTCCTCCATCAATCAATGATGAGGGTCCCGAGCAACACCATTGTTGTTTTTGCCCCCGGGGCCTGGAACCCCAGCAGTGCGTACGATGAGTTCCGTCAACTATTATCCCAGAGGGATATCTCGTCCGTCGCAATAGACCATCTCTCCAACGGTGCCGAACCTCCCAACAAAGGGCTGCGCGACGATTCGAAACACCTCCGTCAAATCTTGACCGACCTAGCCGACCAAGGCAAGAGAATCCTCTTAGTTGGTCATTCCTACGGTGGCATGGTCATCTCCGCTGCATCTACGGGTCTGGGCTTGGAGGAACGCACGCAGGCTGGCAAGTCCGGAGGTGTGATCCGCTTGGTCTACATGGCTGCATTTGTCGCGCCCCGAGGGAGGAGCCTGAAGGACATGATCAATGGGGAACTCTGGCCGTGGATGCTCGTCCAGGTGAGCTTTTCACTGCGATCGCGACGGAATACCTTACTAAAATATCCGCCAGGGGAACTATGTTCGCCGCGACCCGGCCGTAGACTTGATCCAAGATGTGCCGGACGAAGTCAAAGAGAAGTTATCGGCAGCTTTGCACGGCCACATCTGCCTCGCTGCATTTCTTGAGCCAAGTACCGACGAGCCGTGGCGTACTATTCCAAGTGCGTATATTGTCTGCGATGAGGACCGAGCGCTTCCGCCTGCGATTCAAATGATCCGGTCTCTGATTGACCCTCAAGTTTTCCGGTTGAAGAGTGGCCACTCGCCGTTTCTGAGTATGCCCAACGAGACGGCTGAGATTTTGGAGCAGCTTTGTCAGTGATGATGTGTGAGTAGTGGATCAGAGTGGGAGGGTATACATGTGACGGAGATTCAGACTACTTTCAATGTATTTAATTCTCATCTTATCATCTCTGTCATAATATGGCAACTCTGGGATCACAGATATAGTTGATGCGTCCCTCCACTGGACCCTCGGCCTACAGTCCCACAACCAGCCACGCTGGTACTGACCTGGGTCCATAATTGCCTACCAGCAACAATTCATTTCAACCTGACAGTGATCACCACCCTAAGATCCTTATCCGCGAACTCCCGCAATCTTCCAACCGTGCTGAACAAATTGTCCCGAATGGACCTTTTCTCCAAAATTGGAGATATTTGGAGAAAACTGGAACCCGGGGAAAGAAACCATGGACAGACCCGCTCACCAATGCTTACGCACGGATAACTATGTTGTATATTTACCATAGAGAGAAGGAACTGCAAATCCAGAATTACCAGCAAGTTCGTCATCTTGCCAAATACCGCGGTTATTTCAGCGGCACGAATCGCTATTATCTTCGCTGCACCACGGCACTTCACCACTCAACAACCAACCCACTTTACTTTGCTCTAACTCAACAACCCACCCCTCGAGGAAAATGGCACCAACCCCCATGCCCCTCATCCGCCTAACCCTCCTCCTCAAGAAGCGCAACGACATCACCCACGAGGAATTCCACCATCACTGGACCCATATCCACGGACCGCTCGTCAGTGCCTGGCTGCGCCGTCACGGGGTGATCAGATATGTCCAGGTATGGTACCTGGCCTCTCCTGCCCTCTCTAATTTGAAAGCATCTTTCTGTTTACCGTTTTTATGTTGGTTTCTCCAAGGTCTGGTCTAATATATGTACTGTATAGTACCACCAGCCGCCCGAACTCCGCGCCAAAGCCACCGCCCTGTGGGAGTTCCTGGGTGCCGATTCCATCTCGGAATGGGATGGTCACGTTCAGCTCTACGTGCCGTCCCTGGACTGCATCGCCAACGCGCTCAACGACCCGTTCTACAGGGAGGTGGTCGTCCCCGACGAGGAGAAGTTCATTTCAGTCCGGTCGTGCCAGAGGACTGTTGGGTATGAGGAGTGCTTTATCGAGGATAACCGCCGGGTGGAGAGGTAGTTGCTCCTGTAGCTCTGATGGAGATTGAGTGGTTTGTGTTGACTGTGGGCGGAGCTATAGGTGATGGTGGTGAGGCCATGGAGGGCTATCGTGCTGTTTTGTTCTGGATATACTTCTGAAGGAGCCGACAGCGAAGCATGAGCTAGAGCCTACAAGATGCGGCAGCATAGGTTCCAATTGTAGTGAAAGAGATCTATAACGCTCAATATCCAAGCATTTCTCTAACAGTAGCTATCTACAATGTAAATAGTCTCGTACCTCATCCGATAAAGAGTTCCTGTACGATCGCGCACAGCCATTGGCTCCGGCTGGCAACCTTGGTACAGCCATCAATGTAGAATAGAATTGACTGCACAATTACTAAGCATCACAACCCCGGCACAAAAAAAATAAACCAACAGACCAATCTCCCCCACCTACCACCTCCCATAGTCTACAAACCGCAGCCGCAAACCAAGCTTCACCCGCACTCCAACCCCAAGCTACAAGTTCAGGTTTACTGTGCAGTACACCAGCACCTACACCAGCGCTCCCACAACCCACATTACAACCACCTCACCTCTTCATCCCACCCATAATCCAAACTCGACAGACAGACAGACACAACACCCCCGAAATGTCCGAACCCAACTCCTCCGACCCCCCACCAGGCTCAGGTACGTCCACTCCCCACACCCCAATCCCCTCCCCCCACCAAAACCACCCATACTAACCTTACTCCCCCGGGAATTAAAAGTAAACATCGCCTCCCTGAGCGTCCCCCAACTCCGCGCCCTGCAGACCCGCCTCTCCTCGGAACTCGAACACCTGACGACCTCGCACGCGAAGCTGCGCGCCGCCCAGCTGAAGTTCCGGGACTGCGTGCGCTCCATCAACGAGGGGGTGGTCGGGTCGGCCAAGAAGGGCACCGCGGGGGGCCCGGACCAGGAGATTCTGGTGCCGCTGACGAGCTCGCTGTACGTGCGCGGCAGGCTGGCGGATCGGGAGAAGGTGCTCGTTGATGTCGGGACGGGGTTTTATGTTGAGAAGGTATTTTCTCCCCCCTTTTTTTTGTGGGAGATGATTGCTTTGGGCTGGGATGGGTTTGGGATGATACTGGGGATGATTTGGGAGCTTGAATTTTTGGAAGTGGTGGAACGCGTGGGCTAATTTGTTTTTCTCGCTAGACTGCTCCCAAAGCCATCGAGTTCTACGAGAATAAGGTCAAGGATCTGGAGACCAACCTCACCGAGTTGGAGAAGATTGTACAGACTAAGAGTCAGCAGCAGAGGCTCTTTGAAGATGGTATGTTGCGTTGCCCTACTTGTCAGCCATCCGGCAAGGAGTTGCTGAAAATTCAAATCAATTTCATATTATTACCATTACTACCGCTAACTCTTCCGTGATCAGCTTTGAGACAGAAATTGCTGGCCGAAGGGGCTGCATCCTCCGCTTCCGCTACCGCCGGTGCAGGTTAGTTGATATGCCACTTGAATTAGGTACAGAAACAAAGCAAAGAACAAAAAAACAGGCATTAATCGATCCTCTTGCCATGGTATTAAAACAACATTCTGAAAAAGAGAACGTAGCTCTCCACACTACCCCGAAGGGCAGTCGTTCTGGTGACTTAGAACAAAGTCCCGAGGTCTGCATCTAGAGCTCTAGCATTGCCGCTGGAGGCCGGGCTTGTCGAACGATCATCAGACTTAGCCTTGACACTACCGGTGGCTGGAAGGGTGCGGGGCGGTCCGGACCTTAGAAGGGCTGCAACCCGTTTGATCAGATCGATGAATTCCCAGAGACCCTGGGACTTGTCCTCCGACTCATTTGCGGCCGGGAAAAAGGTCTGAAGATTCGGATCGTACTTGGCTGCATGTCCCACGGCCATATTGGCATGTTTACCCAGCAAATTGTCCCAAGTGAAGTCGAAGACCGATGCTCCCCAAGAAACTCGAGGTTTTCCAAAGGGTGCCGCCAGGTTCAGAGAAGCCGAATCATTTGCGGAGGTTCGGGTGTATTCGTCGTATCGCGCTATCTCCAGAATATATCTGGTCCCCTTCAGGCGGTAACGAATAGCCGTCTTCTCGATGAAGCGGGAGACTGGTGCTGAGGCGTGGAAGATGACTTTGCGAACAGGATTAGCCGAGATGTCACCCATAACATCGTTGCTCTTGAATTTGATCGTGTGGGAAAATTCGCGTAAAGCTCTCTCGATTGCAGTTGCTTCATAGAACTCCAGCGATGCAATTTCCAGCTGCCAATCAGACCTATCACAATGATTAGAATCGCGGAACAGGATACTGGACACAAAGCATGTCGGACAGACTCACCTTTCAAAGTCGATGATTCCAACCTGCAAGGGTGAGCGCGAGTCCTTAACTTGGCCGAGCTTGCGTGGCTTAAGCCAGCGGCTTTGCGTCATTGCGTAATCGCGTGCTCCAGAACATTTCGCGAACTCGGCCTCCAAGCGTAGCAGAGAATTCTTTTGACCGGAGAATTCGAAGTTCACAGAGAATGCTGGCTCGGGCTGTTTCAGGGAGTCCATGGTACGGTCGTACGGCTCAAGAAGATTGGTGGCAGAAAGCAGTCTAGGAAGCAACACAGACTGGTCGATCTTCAGACTGTTAACTTGTCAGCTCTGGATCACGGATTTAAGACAAGAAAAGATCACTCGCGTACCCTGGGATCAGGCGACCCTTCGTATTCTCATGGAACAACATCTCACGGAATTCCTCAAAGCCCCACGCCGGTTTTCCCTGCGATGGCTGACGGTAGTAATCGAGCACGAACAAGCCGATATTGGCTCTCATGCGAAGGTGTCCACGCACGTAAACTACACTTTTCAAGCATTTGTCAATCACTTTGAGAAGATGGGCATTGTTCCTTGATCGGATCAGCTCAGCTCGGCCCGGCCAACTATCCATATCGGCCTTGCTCATTGGAATTGTGCGAAATAGTGGTCTAACAAAGCCTGCTTCTTTTCTCGCGGAGACCTCACCATGGCCGCTTCCAAGGGGCTCAACCAAGTAGATTTTGGACTTGACGAGACTGTTTGCCATAATCTCGGCCCATTTGTTGCGCAGGAGCTGGACAAGCTGGCCAATTTTGGCTTGCTCGTAGCCGAGAGCGCAGATGTGATCAGGCAATTCCTTGTCAACGAACAGGTGACACGTGAACCTAATACGAATAGGATCAAGAGCTTCCAGGTCGGTGCCAAGGGCATCACGCATGGAGGGACCCTCCTTCGGCCACAGAAAGAGTAACTAGTTGAGAGCTTGAGGTCAGAAGATTGAAGATTGATTTGGTAGTTGTCATGACAACTCTTTACTAACCTTCTCGGAGAACATAAAGTCGAGCTCAGGTGCCTTCCGGTATGCGAGAATCAAGGCATCTTCTAGCTCAAGTTGATCCGCAAGGTCCTCCTTCCCAGCAGAATAGGCAGAGGTCTTCGTCCATTCCCTTTTCTTGGGCATGGTAATGGTGTCGCATCTAGCAAGAATGCTCTGAATGAGATTGGTGGCCTCAGAGACCTGATATGATGCCCCCCAGAGATGAATCACCTATATACATCAGCTATCTAGTAGTCATTTGGACAAATGTCAGTTGGGCAAGACACATACATCATGATTACCGGAGGGTGGGTCGACGTAGGCTCCGGTCTTTCGAGAGATGTCTTCGAAGACATCATGGCGTCCCTGCTGTCCAAATGGGCGTCGAGATGAGACCGACCGAGCCGCAGTGCAAAATCTAGTCAGTTAGCACTTACTTCATGTCTTGGTTTGGGAATTAATACTTACGAATCTCTGATCTCTTTGAAAGTGCGTGGAAGCCTGATAGTTCCTGCACCAACCGATGTTAGTTTGAGTCAAGCTGGACGAGAGAATAATCCTTACCTGCAGGCTGGGCGCCATTTCTCCATTGAGACTTCGCGGGAGACTCCCCGGGAAGATGATTCTGGGGCGAAGATGAGCCTCTTTTGCCTCTTGAAGCACCGCGTCCTCTGTAAGCGCGAGCTGTTTCTCGGGCAGGGGCGGGGTTGTGACATGTAGTGTTCTTGTTCACAGATGTGACAGATGCCTCATGAACATGCTCGGCTCCGGGAGTAGACTCAGGCTGTGATGCAATGTTTTGCACGTGTGACGCTTCGGTCTCAAACGGGATCTTTTGAGGGCCTGGTCGTCCGTAACCGGGCAGAGCCCATTCTAAGAGTAGAGGATCAGTATCTTGCTCCGTAGCATGGAACCAGCAGGGCTCAGACAACTTTACCTTTGGCTCCAGAGGCCTCGAAGCTGTTGATTGATTAGTATTCTATTCTTGATCTGACGGCAACAGGACAGCTTACTCCATGTTGAGCGAGACCTTCCAGTCAAAATTGGGGTGAGGACTGAGGGGATACTCCTCGACTGAAGCACTCACTGAACAAATTGATCAAAGACCGAGAAGGATGAATGAAGAACTAATATTGAGTGGATGAGCAACGGAGCTGACGCCTGCTGACGGGGAGGTGTAATTAGATGGGAGAAGAAGAGAAGGAAGATGCCAACAGAGTGGGAACTTACCGGAGTGATTTGGGGGGGGGAGGGGCAACGAAGAGGAAGAACAGAGGGGCACAACAACCACAAGACAAACAGCACTCAGCGGCCTTCACAGGCCAAGATTCTGTTTAATACGTGCAATTGGCCAGTGTAAGAATTAATCGAAAGGAGAAACTGCTTGTAATCCAATCGCCCAGTAGCTGTCTCGGCAGCCTGCATTCACCGCTGGAGCAAAGAAGAGTGAAGTTGGTGCTTGCCTTCTCCGGAATGTCACCAGGAGCTGTATCGATGGACTTTGAAGACTGTCAAAATATACCTGCAAACGCGATTTTCCTTCATCGATAACTCTTTTGCAAGCTTGGGGTGTTACGGACAGGCAGTAACAGCGCTTGCTGCCTCGTTTAGCAGCGAAGTATAGCGCACGTCATCTTATTGGCGCGGAGATCCCAGTGCGGGTGCTAACCCTAAAGAGGAATAGCGGCACAAGCGCGCGGCAGGCGCGCCTTTTCGGGTTTCCCCCATCAACATATTGACCATAATTGATCAATTGTCTCTCCCTTGGCTGGGACTCCGACTATCACAAGACAATGGCCTCCGACTCCTCAAGCCAAGAACCTGGCTTGCAGTCGCGCAAGCCCAATGCACGGAAACGTGCCCAGCTATGGATGACCAAGGGTGGCCTTGTCCGAGACGACTCCGATGATGAGCTGGGGGAAGAAGACCACCCATGGGAGTGGATCTACGACACAGAGGTCACTGATGATCAGGACGGCAAACCGACGGCCGACTCTACGCAGAATACCCCGAAATCGATGCGCAGACGCTCCGTCCGCCCGAATGCCAAACGCTCACGGAAGATAATCGGTGCTCGCATGGGCTCGTTCGAATGCGCCTTGGGCCAGGTAGTGCTGCTCAAGTCCCCAGAGCCTGGCAAGGATTGGATTGGAATCATCACAGAATTTTTGGAACAAGATGATGATGATGACGAGATCATCAAGTCGGCCAATATCATGTGGTTCGCTTCTCCGGACGAGTTCATGTCGACGAAGAACAAGAGACGATCGGACGCGCTGCCCAACGAACAGTACTTGACGGCGGACTTCAATGTCAACCCCCTCACCTCAATCAACGGCAGAGCCACGGTCATGTCGAAGGATGCGTTCTACGCCAAATATCCTGGTGGTGTCCCTCCGAAGGGAAAGGAAGCTCTGGCAGATTTCAACAAGTGCATTGTGTGTCGCAGAGGAGTGAACCAAGTTCAGGGAAGATATACCGAAGAGTTCATCTGGGAAGAGGTCTATCGAGAGGATAGACTGTTTGACCTCATTGATATGATCAAGTCTGGGCTCAAGGTTGCGAAGAAACGGAAGCAGGTTGATAACGATGTGAGTACAACGGGTTGCTTTGTCACAACTTCGCAAGCTAACGACTTGAAGTATGTGGAAAGTAAAAGTGAAGAGAATGTTGCTCCGAGTACACCCAGGAAAAGGCAGAAAGTGGCTTCGAGTGCCACCCCTCAATCCAGACGTCAGAAATCCTTGACCACCCCGACTCATAAGAGGTATGTGAACGTACGGCATCAAAACACATCCTGCCACAGTCTCACAGTTCGTCATAGGATCGTTGTCAAAAAACCACTCGAGTTTACTCCTCTTGGTACCCGTATCCTCTCACCATCACAACTAGCCTCTCCATATCGACAAGCGCGGACTCTCCTCCATGTGTCTACCGTGCCGCAATCACTCCCTTGCCGGAAGACGGAGTTTGACGCAGTCTACAGCCATCTCAGCGCAGCCATCATGGAAGGAACGGGTACTTGTATCTACATCTCTGGCACACCCGGAACGGGTAAGACAGCAACCGTTCGCGAGGTGGTGGCCCAGTTAAACGCCGCCGTCTTGGCGGAAGAGATGGACGATTTCATCTTCGTTGAAATCAACGGCATGAAGGTGACTGACCCTCATCAGTCTTACTCTCTGCTCTGGGAGGCCCTCAAAGGTGATCGTGTATCCCCGTCTCACGCTTTAGATCTTCTTGAACGGGAGTTCTCGCACCCTTCTCCCCGGCGAGTGTCCTGCGTCGTCTTGATGGACGAACTCGACCAGCTCGTCACCAAGAACCAGTCGGTGATGTATAATTTCTTCAACTGGCCCGCCCTACGACACTCCCGCCTCATCGTCCTCGCCGTCGCCAATACCATGGATCTCCCCGAGCGAACCCTAAGCAACAAGATCTCCAGCCGTCTCGGCCTCACCCGTATCACCTTCCCTGGCTACAAACACACCGACCTAATGGAAATCATAAGTACACGACTGGCCAACGTGCCAGGTAACATCGTGGACGCGGATGCCATCCAATTCGCCAGCCGCAAAGTCGCCGCCGTCAGCGGTGATGCGCGTCGCGCCCTGGACATCTGCCGCCGCGCCGTCGAGATCGCCGAACAGCAAGCCAACGAGGCCGCTCGTAAAGAGCCCCTCGAAACCATCGACGAAGACGACACCGAGTCGATGCCCCCGACCCCGAGTAAAACCCCCGCTCGCAAAGACCGGGCATCCAACAAGAATGCCCTCCTCCCCTCGTCCCCGCAGAAGAGACCCCAATCCACCACCACTGGCACCAACAAACCCATCGTCGGGCGCGTCACCATCGCCACTATCAAACAAGCCATCCAAGAAGCCACCTCTACCCCGCTACAGCAGTCCCTCCGCTGTCTCCCCCTGGCCGCGAAACTCTTCCTCGCCGCCCTCCTCGCCCGGGTCCGCCGCACCGGCATCTCCGAGACCACCGTCGGCGACGTCATCGACGAAGCCAAGCGCATCGCCGATGCAGCCGTTGCCGTCGCCAGTGCGGCCGGCGTCGGCATCCGGGAGTTCTTGCTTGTTGGCGGCAGCGGCGCGCGGGTGCGTGCGCTGGGATCGGCGGCCATGGAGCTCATGAACTCCGGTGTGCTGGCGTTAGAGCATAGTGCGGGCGCGAAGGGACCTCTCGGCAGCGCGGCCATTCCGCATCGGGGTGACCGTAGCGGGAAGGTGCGATTGCGGGTTGCAGCGGAAGATGTGCGCTCGGCGTTCTGTGATGATGCAGAGGCCAAGGGGTTGGGACTGGGCATTGAGCAGTAATCCATTCGTTTAGATGAGCACACGTGATAGACCACTGTATTTGTACGATATTAGCATAGGAATAATGATACCCACGGTTTTGAGCACAGGCATAACTGGATCGATTACGTAGACACAAGTTGATTTGAGCTTACGAGCTGATTCGGGGGATATGGGAAGGTTGAGAGCTCGAGATCGGTGCTCAGCCTATCATTCTATGGTACATCTAGATAGTCCATAGTATACCAGCAAGAAAGAGAAATCCAAAACACAAACGCTGGACGCCATAGTGCATAAAATAACAAAAGACGAAGGATAACATCCGCAACCACCTCCAGAGCAGAAGCAAAAAAGCATGAGAAGATTTTGTCACATTCGAATACCGTGAACATGTTTGAACGTCCACGGAAGGGGGGTATTTTCCAAAGGAGGATATGAGGTTTAGAGGTAGATGGAAGGAAGAAGAAAAGGGGCAATGAGTAAGTGAGGGAAGGAGGTACATAGTTCCTGAACAGGGACTAATACCTCTGCCGACCGAGGGTGGGAGCCCAGGTGACCGGATGCGATTCGGGGGTGGCCTCGTCGTCCTGCTTCCAGATCTTGATGGTCTTGTCGGCTTCACCGGTGATGAGGCGCAGACCCGTGCGGTCGAAGGTGGAGGACATGATGCCGGCCTCGGCCTCGAGGGAGCCGGGCTGGGCGGTGGACTCGATGGTCTGGTACTGGTAGCCGGTCTTCCAGTCCCAGAA